CTCTAACGGGGACAAAATTACAAACCGGCTGGGACGCTGAGACATCACCAACGACCTATAAGTAATCGAATGGCAAAGGTACTGATTACAGTACCATTTGAAGCCAACTTATTGCTGTGACAAGCAAAAAAAGTGCATTATTGTCATTAGTCCCGTGTTTTTCTTAAGCAAATTGTGTTTTTGTCAGCATTTTCCTTAGAAATTACAAGCATATTTTATAGGCGAGTTTCACTAGACATTAAACTGATGTTTAATTGACTGTAGCTGATAATACTATGTGAAAAATTAGTTCTTTTTTTTATTTTAATATTTTTAGCAATTTTTACTGACATATATCGTGTTGCACAGATTTTCACAAAACGGATTTTATTTAAAGGCCAATGAAAATTAAATTATATTATTTTCTTACATTGTACAGAAAGTGTTAGTGTATTTAATTATATTTATTTGTATTTCAATGTATTGTTGCTATTATGGCTTCTGTTACTAAAAGCTGTTTACGCCAAATTGTCAGAATGATTTGTTAATCCCTGTCCCAAGGTTTTTTAAGGATTATGAATTATCATCTTCAGAATAAACATATACAAGCTTGTATGTGAGTGAGTTTTAGATTCATCTTCTAACTCCATGTTACAATTAATATATTGTGTTGTTATTTTTATTATTTCTTAGTTGCAGCGTTTTCTTAATTATAAACAGCTTAAATACAATATTTATTTCTTTAAAATCTTTCATTTAAAAAAGAATCACCAATTATTTTATCTTAAAAACACTTAAAATCGTGTCTATTAATCTAATCTGTGAACTTGTGTTTAGTGGGAACATTTTAAAGAAATAAAAATTCTCCTCACAGTAATATTGTGTTGTTCTCACATTTTTTATTATTAAAATGGGGCTATTTAATCCAGCACTAACAGCTATTACTGTTGTAAGCGAATTCTTCAAAGCGAAAACGAGCAGAGACAGAGTGATGTCATTAAGAACAGTAAGTCTACTAAATATAGTCTGAGTAAATGAGTAAGAATTTTTACAGTAGGCGGAGTCAGAACTACTATATAACTAAGAATATCGTTAAATATCGGCACGAAGTCAGAATTCTGAGTTCTGAGTTACTGAACACGGCCCAGGATTGTCCCAGTCAAACCGCGAAATCTGGCAAAGAGGATTCAAACAAAATCCTTACAAGACGTTGTTGTTATTGTTTGTATAAGGTAATGTGGTTCGCAGATCAGTCGAGAGAGATGCCTTCGGGGAAAACTTTCTATGGGAAATTGGCTCCTGTTTAGGTGTTTGTTACAAACGTAAAGAAAACCGGAAAATTCGTGACCAGCCCGTTGGCGAGATGCGAGCCCACAACCAACTACTAATATTCTGAGATTTTATCCATTCGGCCAATCGTGGGTCCAGGACATTGTTCTTAAATATTTTTGACCCAATAAAAATTTTGAAAGGAAAATGTTTATAAATAAATTTTTGGAGATCTCAAGGGACTTTCTATTGCCAGTTTTGTATAATTTAAGCAAAAAAACATAAAAGAATGAAGTTTAAAATTAGTAAAAGTAAAAAAAAAATCGAACTGCTGTAGCTTAAAATAGAATAACTACTGATGCAAAACCTGTTCAGAAAAAGACAAAAAACAAAAAATAAAACATGGTCTTTACTTTGATTTTAATGTGTAGTAGTTGAATGTTTGTAAAAATAGTTAAAATACCTGAGTTTCCTTGATTACGTATGGAATTTGACTAGCATCAATTTCTACCAAAATATCCTTGCTTAGAAGATTTAGAACATAAAAATCTCACAGAATTTGAGTTTGAGCAACAGAAATTAATGTTTTTACTATTCTCTTTCCTTTAAATTCAACATTTGCGTCGTGTGAATAAGCTTATTCAATGGAATTATTCATACGAAGGACCCGTGATTTTTTCCACTTTTTCCCAGTATAGCCTATTTATAATAAAAATTTCGTGATAATTCTTCGATTGTCGGTATTGCCGTTTCTATTTTCTGTTTTCACAACGGAAAAAGTGTCATAACAGTTTTAAAGCTAAATATTTACGTAAAAGAGTAGATACATTTTTAACAATGTTAATTTCATATAGAAATCCTATCTTATCCATACAATTTTTTAAAATTTGCAGATTCACATAGAATATGTTTTATCGAGAATAAATTGCCATAAAATTTACAAGTTCAATAAATACTTTTTAATATACCAAAAGTTTAACAAATATAACGTTTTTTCAAAATCGCGAAAATGTGTAGTTTCTGTTTAAAAACAAAATAATTATAGGAATAAAACGATAACTGATTAAAGCTTAACCTTGATAGCTATCTTAGAATCAAACAAAAAGAAATGGGCAATAAAAATAAATCAGATGAAACAAGGAAGATTAATAATACAGCAGAACGTTTTTACGACCCGATTGATTGCTGGAAAATAGCTCTTCTAGTTTACGTTATTTATTTTCAGGAACGCAATTTTACGTTCCTGAAAATAAGTAACTACAAAATACTATAGGAAAATGATTACTGTACAAGAAACATGACATTTCGTACAGTCATAATAGAGAATTTATATCAGTCGTAAAAATAGGAATTTTAAAGCATCAGTTGTAAAGTGGGGTCTACTATAAGTTATTCGTTCTATGATCATCGTCTATAGCAGATTCAGTGATATTGTTATACTTTTTTGAAAGTAAAATTTGGTCAACATATTTTCAAGATATTTCGCCCTATACTTGTTATTTTATATTAGTTTCGACATTTAAGAACTTGTTTTATGACTTCCTTACAACATAAAATTAAGTTTTCGGCACAATATATTTTATTGCTTAGGTTTTAGATTAAAGTTACTTAATAAATAAAAACGTTTACAGTCTTTATTAAATATAGATTTCATGTAATAAAGGAAAATTGATAACCTAAAATGTCAAATGTATTATGTTCATAATGTAACATCTGATATGATTCATTTATGTTAACTTAATACATCAATGTATAGGTATTAACAGCAGCTCTTTTATCCATTTTCCTCTCGTTTTTCTGAATACTTTATTTCATATTTTTTTTTTCTTAAATAGACTAAAATCTTTATGATTTAGATAATTGACTACATTTTTAAATTCATTATATAGTCAGTTACGAAAATTGTATGTTTTGAGAATGTAAATACATCAATTAACTTATCTAGACACCGATGTCACGTAGATTTGTCTTAAACAGGGATAGAGTGTGAAGAGGGGACGGAAGTCTTCCATAAGGAGAAAATTTTAATTGTTTTATAAACTGTATAACATTGATTCCCTAATGGACCTAAACATTCTACTGCAGGTTCTATTGATATATAAAAGTTACACGAATGGGTTTATCAAGAATTTATAGACGGTTTTACTAATATTTTATTTTATTGTCGTATATGATATTTGTATGTTTTAATGTAGAGTAAACATTGAAAACAGAAACTGTAGTGTTTGTTTGTTAGACAAATAAAATTCTATATAAAATTTAGCTGTAGTACTTGCTTAGAATTATGTTTGTATTGGCATCCGAATTTTCCTTGGACGCATGTTGTAGGAATGCTTTTAGCCCCCTTGGCAATGCATTGGATTTTTAGTTCAAGGCGCATAAATGTTTGCGAGGCATGAGGACTTCCAAGTGTCTCTCACGCCTCGCGCCCTTGGCACTTGCTCGATTGCCAATGCATTGTTACAGCACTGGTTGTACCATACGTACTGTAAAGTACATAATTTCTAAAGTCTCGGCATCACTCAGCTTAGCAGAACCTTCTGTACTTGTGACTTCATTCACTTAATTTTACAGTTCATTTCATTTTTCAAGCATAGATTTTACGAGTGCTTGCTTGGACTGCTTTTGGTGGATTTCTAGCCTTTTGTGCTAAAAACTCTCCACAAGATGCCCTAGATAAAATGGTGAACGAATAGGTATTTCTGTGTATTTGATAGAATTATTCATATCGTATGCATTAATTTACATGAAAAATGTAATAATACTTTAAAAGTTTATCCACAAACAATTCCCACAAAATTAAACTTTTATATTTTTCGACGTTTTCATAAAAAATTCCGAGAATTTAAAAACCAATTATCAAGTTATTTTAATAAAAATCAAAGTTGAAAAATTATTTTCTCGGGAATTTGTTTAAAATATGTTAGCTTTATTAGTATTGGAAGAGAGAAAAAACATTGTTTTAGATTTCATTAATCTTATTATTTCAACGAATCAGTTTAAACAGAAAATTTCCAGTCAAAGAAATTTTGTAACAAATATTTTTCGTTTAAAAATATGTCTGCAAAAACAGTAGACTATATTTTTTGTTTTCTGAGTGTATTTCGACATTAAAGTTCAAAAATATTATAAATACCATGATATGAGACTGTAGAAATTGCAAAAATTATTTGATGAAATCAGAAAATTTTGATAAAAATAGACTTTTTCTAATAAACAGACATGTTTATTACTAATGTTAAGCTTTCGGCTATAAGTTCGGCTTAAGCAAGCGACACTGATACACACAAACAATATTTCTGTAAAAGTGTAGGTTACTCGAATACTATTTGCATTTATTATTATATCAATATATATTGAATCACTTACATATTTCAGAAGTGCTATTTTTGATTTTATTTGATATATCACTGATATATATTATAATTTTTTAGTACAAAAAATCAAAAAATTTGTAATAATTCTATCATATGGCATGGTTACATGTTTACGATATTTTTTTCAATAAAATAAAAATCAAATTTTTTTTTTATCAGTATTTAATATCATCATCCTTCTCAATTAACAGTGGTGAAATAGACTAAATAAAAATTTGGATACTATATCTTCATGCAATTTTAAAAATAAGATTTATTTATTTAATTATTTTTAAGTTGAAATATTAATAGTAAATTATATCATTTTTAATATTAAAACTTGTTTTTACTATATTTAATAATTTAATATTCTTGAATTATTATTTATTTATTTATTCACTCTTCTATTAAATTGTCGTTTTTCTTTAAGTTGCCCTACAAAAAACATTGATAACAATTTACAATAATTTTTGATAATGAAAAAAATTATTTAAAAGTAAAATATTAATAGGTTTTATATTATTATTAACTTCGAATATAATTTAAGTTAATAAAAATGACTTATAATCGAATACTGTAAACGATAATGTATTTTGTAAACCAGCTTTTAGGTTAATTTGACGTCATTCCTAAATTTCTGTAGTAAGAAAATGCAAAAAATGACGTCAAATTGACGTAAAACACCGTTCAAATAAAATGAACATGCCTAAAGCAAGTATCGTATAACATACATTTCTATCTCATAAAAAAAAACTATCAAATATACTAACAGTATGTTATGACGTTTTAGAACAATTTTGAGAACTGGATATTAAAAACTGTATTTTGTAATAAGTAGATCAATATTTAGAAATTAAATACAGAGAAATTAATCATTTAATTTGGTCAATTAATACAAACATTACCAGATGACATATTAACATGTTAAGCTGCAGTATCTTTCACTCGTCACAGATGGGTTGCTATGTGGAAGTTTTATTGTTGTTGATAAAACAAGCAATCTTCTATATTTATTCAAAGTTTATGAAAGTAAGTCTGGGTAGGCTGTTATAAAAACTTCTGTCTGGAAAATTATTTATAATACATTTAGAAGGAGTCACGAAATATCAGGACTGTGGCTGATATTTTAATAAGGAAAAAGGTAGTCGTGTATATGTGAAAAAAATGAGACGTTCCATATTAGATAGGACCAAGATATAGTACTGTCATTTACGGCACTATAGGTGTTCCTAATAAGTTCATAGCAATAATAGTGGAGGTTATTAGGAACAGTGTAAAATTTAAGAAGCTAATTTGTATTTCCGGAGTTAATTATGTCTGCTACAGGGGAAAAAAACAAAAAGAAAAGAAAGCTGGACTCCTGAGAATATGGCCAAGGCTCTGGATTCTGTGAAAAAAGGGTAATATCAGAGGAATGTAGCCAACAAGTTTAACATTCTTATAGAACTTTAGGGAACCATTTAAAAATAGGTAGAACGGATATGAAAATGAAGAAACAGTCATTGCTGTAGGAAGTACAGGAACAGGAGTTGGTACAACGAATTCTGCGTTTTTAAAAATTGTATTTTTTCTGATCTCCAAAAGACTTAGACATTGTGTTTCCGAAATCAACAATATACAAACTCCTTTTAATGAAAATCAAGAGTGGGTTCATGCTGAATGCATTGGCGCCAATACACTCAGCAATGATCATGAGAATGTGGATGTATTAATATTTATTTACTCAAAGTGCAACGAAAATTAATAAGCCATTGACTTTCAATAATGGGCCTTATTTGGAACAACGTTCCTAAAAAGCCCAATGTAAAGATTTTTTTAAAAGTAATACTTTCAGTCATTTGCTGAACAATACACTAATCACTGATTGATATATATTTATATGTTTACACATGATTCAATAAATAACTATTTCAATACCTGCTTTTATGCCACATTATTTTCCTTTATATCTTTAAACTTTCGAATGACTCTCTCAAATGAGCCTTATTTGGTCAACATATCAATACCTTATAAAAAGTATCTAAATATATCTAAAACCTGTAGAAAGATAACAAGAAACTTTTCAGAAAAATAGAATTAAACATTCTCGATTATTATCGCGCATTAGGCTAAACGTAAAATAAACAAATAAATTACAGTATAAAATTATCACAGATATAAATTTGATTAAATTTTACATCGTTGATTTGTAAACGAATTTTAAAAATGGAATTAATTTATAACTTATATTTTTATTAATAACTTATACTTTATCTTGTAAAATTGTCGTAATAACAGAATATTATTACAATGTTTTGTTCTTACCAAGGCCGTGCACACGGGTTTATGAGGATTTAACTTTTCCTGTTTGGCAATTCAAACAGAAAAATGTTACTATATTTTACTGTACGTGACTTATATTTTGTACCCGTTTAGTATACTGTATTGCTTTACTCTAAACTTGTACTGTAAAAATTTATAAACTACTTTATAAAAAATAATGTTTTTTTTTTTTTTTAAATCCCACCCTTTTAAAAATCTCGGTTCTTACAAAACTGGGTGTATTATAGGCTATCTCACTCAGTTCATAACGAATGTCATCATAAAAGTTAATTTACTTTCACTCCATAGGAAAAGTGGAAAACGAGAAACATAATCTACTTCCGCATTTCACCAATTATCATTCTTCAACTATTTCTACCAGTTAAATGGCATTTTGTTTTTTCATTATTTCTAAATCAACAAATATGTTGTTAGACATAACAAACATTATTTTCACCTTTATTTACGATTTCAGACACAATGACCACTTCAACTTTTTAACTGTATTATTTTACTTTACTGTTTTTATATTTATAAATAAAATTCAGCTATAGAATTTCAATTTTCTAAAATTTCACAATGGAATACAACCAGATGAGACTATTAAATATTTTAAAGAAATCCTTGAAAACTAAGTGTAATAAACTATAGATTTAAATTCTATTTAAACCAAATATGGCAAAATATAAATATCACTTTTCTCTTTCTAATTTATTAAAATATATTTANTCTTTTCTTCTGGTGTAGAATTTGCATATTGATAAGCCAAACCAAAGCAGGCGTGCGCTTAACTGTGTAAATTACAAATAAACTATTTAATTTTGACCTCTGAACAGTTATCCAGACAGAAAAATAACGATTTTAATGATCTTTGGGTTTTACTGTATGTTTACACTTATCACAATATAAACGATTATTTTGCATAATTTATCTTAGAAACAAGAAGTAAATACAAATAAAGATGTCTTTAGGTTTATAATATTTTAAATTTTATTACAAATTATATAATTTATAAAAAAAAAAAAAAACTAAAAATTTTTGGTATGAAAATGAATAAAAGAATTATAAATTTTTACTTGTTAGTAATCATTGTGTTATAATTAAATTACAAACGATTATAATAATTAGGTAAAATTCCAAAGAGGAGATAAAAGATTATTTTAAATTTCTACGTAAAAATTACACACTAAATTATTGGTAACAAAATTCACATTAAAATTTTATTTAGTGAAGTAAATTAAATATATTTCACTAAATAATTTGAAATAAATAAAATGAATAATATAAAATATAATCACAATATTTACTTGATTTTATTTAATAAATTTCTATCTGAAAAAACTACAAATTTTAGAAACTTTTATGTAAAATAAAACACCGTTCTTATTCATTTTAGATTTTAAAATAATTATGGCATAAGTTGAATAACTTATGCCATTATTATTTTAAATCGTAAAATAATAATTTAAGTTATTTTACTTTTTAAGGAAAACTATCTCTTCTTTAAAATAACAATTGAAAATAGACAAAATAAATAAAAGCCTATTAATTATTTATGTCATTTCTTATATAAATTTCATTGTATATAGGAATAATATACAATGAAATTTTTATTTTGAAACATTCTGAACGTAATTTTTGCATTTATGACAAGATATTTTCAAACTTAATTAAACTGCCAATTTAATACATTAAAAAAAAACAGTGTTATACTAATGTAATAAGATCAAGTAATCGATTTTGAGATCATTTAATATCAATAAGCTACTAATAATTATATAATTCAATAGCACGCAATGTTTCTAAAAGGTCTTATTGCTTTTGCTCAATTCTAAAGAAAATAACGCAATGACCAAGCTAAATTTTCTATTAAAATTTCAAATTTAATTTAAATTTAAAAATTAATGAATTTATTAAATAGAATAAAATTTTCAAGTGCTGTTTTATTCTATCCAAGAACAATGATAAATTACTCTGCAAGTAAATTAAGGATTTGCGGACACAGGATGTTTTAAATAGTAATAACCTATTAAATTCCATTTATAAAATAACAATAATCTTATCCGATTAACTCGAAATGAAAGTTAAAGCTCAAATTATTAATGCAATGCACGTACTATGAACTGATTCAGTGAATGGTCATATGAAAAGTTCGTATTGTCATTCACATAACTCGATCCAGCTGTATTAATTTGCCATTATCGAGAAAACAAGGTGCAATAATCATCTCACTTATGAGTATTTGATGCAATTCATGTTAAGTGCGCTCTACTTTAAACAGCTTTCACGCGTATTATGACTAACTCCATTAAATTTACCTAAATCTATTTAATGTTAATTTGTAGAAATATTATTGAACATAACATTTATTTAATCATAATTAATTTCATTAATCTTTATTGATCGTAAAGCAAATCGAGTTTTGAGAAAGTAGGAGTTTATGTTTAGAGTATTATGAAAGCCGCCAATAACTTCGATATGAAATTAAAGTAGATAATAAATGACTCCAGATTATTTTTTGAATCATAAAGGGTCAGAGACCACCTTCAGTATTTTTAAGTATTTTGAAAATATCGGAAAGATAAGATGTCTTTTTTGGTAGAGGACAAATTTTTTTACTTTGTTCGATAACTCGTTACCACGTGGAAACTAAATTTTTGTAAATATATTTATAAAAATAAGCTGTAAACATAAGTATAAATTATAGATACTTTATATTTAATTAGGAATTATAAACATCGTGGTTATTTAGGGAAAAAAAGCTAGGTCTACTTTAATTTTTACTTTTTTATGAATGTAAAAGTTATATAAAATCCGCATTCATTTATATTCTGTTTAATTATATAATTAAACAGTATATATATACTGTTTAATAAAACTATACATGATCGATATATAGGCCTATATATATATATATATATGTGTGTGTGTGTGTGTATAAAGTATTCAAAATTGAGTTTGTTAATATAATCTTTGTAGTTATGTGCATATATAATGATAATAATGTTTTAAAAATTTAGTTTGTGAATATGTGTGTGTATATATATATATATTAAAATTTTTTTATTTATTTGCCAATATATTTATATATTTTAACAATGAGTATATATGAAATATATTTATATATTGCAAATGAGTTAATTAAAAATACCGACGGAATCCTTATTTAATAAATTCATCTTTATTCATACTGATTTTCAATATATTATAAAACGATTTATTCAGAAACCTTGAATTTTATTTTATTTTATTTCATTTTTACTAGTTCTCTCCATCAGATTCAGAATTCAGAGTTACAAGATAATTGCTCTTATACAAAGAATTTAATAGAACAGAACTAAATTTAATAATACTGAAGCATCATATATGATTATTATATTTCATACATTAAACGTATCATTAGAGATCAAAATAATAATTATGTGGTTTATAAATAGAGACTACCCCTTTTCACATATTTTTTATTGACTCAGTGCATGTAAGAAGTTTCCTACCTATCAAAATATACAGATTTATACGATTAAACTATCAAATCTTTCATAATAACAATAAATATCGAACCTTAATTATGCTTGAAATAGTTTCGATAGAAAATGCTAACATTCTAAATGACATTAAATACTAGAATATATCTAAATTGGAAAATATGAAGCGCACTTTCAAGAAATACAAGTGAATCATTGAACACGTTACATTTAATTAAAAAAAATAATTAATAAGTCAATACAACGGTAAATTAAAACTGTAAATTATATATTACAATAATGCTTATAAACTATTTAAAAATTAATTTACTGTAGGAGCAGTTTTGATTACTTAAGAAATTTCTAACATTTTTTAAGATCCACGAAACAGACTCTTAGTTTTAATTCCGCATGTTTGAAAAGAAGATGCAAAACGAGCGAAATGAATTAAAAACAAGTATTGTTTAACTCATATTTTGCTGAAGTTGATTATTAAAAAGTTCTGAAACGGATATAAACACTAATTAAAATAATGGTCTTAATCCTTGTTTTCTGAAGATCAAGCAAATATTTTTAATTAGTTTAATGAACCCAAAGATTTGACGTCAAATATTGAAATCGAACCCACTTAAAATAGATACGTATTAGAGATTCACATGAAAAGTCTAAGTACGATAGCGATAATTATTTTTGAGCAGGTCAATATTCCAATAACTTTTTCCATGTATTTTTTCTTCTTTTATCTAGTAAGACGATCAAAGTTCACAACAGTCATTTCCCTAAATGATCATCGTCCATTCAAAATCTAATCAATGTCTTTAAATATCCCGTTAGAATTACGTATTAACTAACTAAATCATTTTAAAAATTTTAAATAAAAATCAGCTTTAAGACAAAATTATAGCATAACAAAAAGATCGATCTGACGTTACTCGTATTAAAATTTAAAAAACAAATTTTTTGTTATGTAATTTTTAAACTTAATTTTGAAGTATAAACCGAGATTATCATTCGGAGCAACAGCGAAAAATAGTAGAAAAAAATAAACAATTAAGATCGAGAGCTTGCATGGACACGAACAGTGGTGCATTATAGCTTTACGGATGGGTCCCAGGCGAATTTGAATTAGGGAGCCTCAGGTACAGTGTTGACTTCAGACATTTTTCTTCGGGAAATTTTTTAGGGAAATATTTTCTTAGGTTTCGAGCCCCCAGTTATTGGAGGTCCCAGGCAATTACCCTTTTCGCCCATAGGATGGACTCGGAGGTAGAGCGAGCTCCTTTCACCTTTTTTTTTTTTTTTTTTTGAACAAATGAAATACGTAGAATGTTTCCTTATTATTAAAAAGCAATCTTGAATATTTTATTTCCTGTTAATTATATAGGACTCTTAAGTTTTCGTCGGGCCGAGGAAAAATCCCCAGCTCCCCTCTCGCCCTGTTTTTCGATATGTAAATAGATACTAAGCATGTTTTTTAAAGACCTCCTGGACACATTTCAATTTTCTGCTAATACTATGTCAGTGGGACGAGAAATTCAAGGTGCTCTTTTTTTAATAGTTTCGCATTATCTAAAACAATTTGAAATTTTCATGTTTGTTTTTTCTATTTATTTATTAAATATTAATTTAATTTATATTTGTACTCGTTTAATTTTCAGTTACTATTATTAGAGAAATATCATAGTAAATTTTATACTTGAAATAGACCTAAATATAGCAATACATTATAAAAAGTCCACATCAAGGAGTGTATCCAGTATGCATATTAAAGAAATAAAATAATTTATTTTATAAATTTTTCACATTTAAAAATAATTATAAATAATCTTAGTAATGGCTACAAAAACTATTTGATAAAATATTAATTAAAAATTTCCATTAATAGATGCGATGAATGAAAATATTTACATATAGGCCTACCTCTTATCATTTGAAAAACAAACAAATAAATAAATGATAAGACTTATTTCTAAATTAGACCAAACCGTAACTCATGCAGAAGGTCCTAAACTTGTCAACATTTCTTATTAAATTAGGTCTAGAAGTATTAGTTACATAATATCGATCGTTATATCATACGATACAGTATCCTTATCTATAATTAGGCTAAAATTGAGGGTCAAGAGAACACACGTCGTTTGTAGAACTTTTATTTCAAACATCTTGTCTTTCTATCTGTAAAGTTGCGTTCTCATTTCCATGATTATAAAACCAGGTTGTCCTATATTACATCATATCTATAAGGTTTCAACAACACTTATAAAAACGGGGCAAGATTAACTTTTTAAATGTAATTTATTTACAAATATAAATAAAGATATTATTTATAAACATAAATGAAACGAGTTATGCAAAATATGAAGTCTAAATTCTGAAAACTCTTATTGAGAACGAACACGTTCAAGATATTTTCATTTAGCCTATTAGAAGTTGATTTTAAAATCCTGTTACCGCTAATATTTATTCAATGTCATAATTTGTTAATGAAAATGTAAATATTATTGAGTCTATAAAGCAAAATATCGCTTAGATTTTCCAGATTTTAATGAACTTAAATGACATATTACTGATTAATTGGCTGTCTGGCACGAAATACCGATCAATCTTTTACATTTTTTAACAATTAAATTGCACGATTTATTTTGTTACAAATTATTTAGAAATCAATAAAAGTATTTAAAAACAAATAAAATTGGTTTACATCTGCTCCTGTTGCAATGGTGTCAGGTCAATATCGCATTATTATTCATTTTGTTGGTACGCTATGTCAAAAGTGTTTCTAAATATTATGTAACAGTATTTGACAATCGAACAAATCCTTTTGCACAAAGTGGGTCAAGTTATGTAAATAACTTTCATTAATACTACGTTTAATGCGAATATTATCATTATAATTACTCTTCCTGCTTTCTTCATAGATATCGAGACAAACCACAGAAATTTCCAAAAAGGAGATTTTACTCAAAATATTACTCAATAACGGCACTTACTCAATGACATTTGTTGTATGACCCGAACAAGTTTGATATGATTTGTTCATAAGTGTTCATGAATTAAATACATTTCCATTTTACTATTTTTGGTATAGCCTATGAAGTTCTCTAAAATATTTTTTAATTCAATAAATTTAGTTATTCTTACCCTTTAAAATAATAATAATTTTGAAAATTACGTTTACAGATTTTGTTATTTTAATACATTTAAATTATGATTATGGTAACACCTTTGATAATTACGTTTATGTTTTGTCGTGCAATAATACTTAAATTCCGGATGTGTATAATGTAACTTCGATAATTTCATCTATTTCCTTTCTTATCCCGAATTTATAACAATAATTAAATAAAATTTGTACTATTTTAATATCATCATTAATTATCAAAATATTTAATTAATTAAGTAAAAAATTAATTAAAATTTCAATATGAAATTAATTAAATTGTATTTAATAATGATATAAAAATTGATTAAATGTTTAAAAATTTATTAAAATATTTTATTGAACATCTTCACAAATGACAATGAGATAAATGACAATGATTGAACAGAAAGAATGATAATGCTTATCATTCGTATTTGAGAGGGAAAAAATGATAACTGATTAGATATAATGAGTAACATAAAAGACAGAAATTCACTTGGACGTATGAAGCTTTGCAGTTTGTTTCATCGAACCAGGTGACTAGAAATTATTGGCAGGTTCCGTCACACCATTAAGAAGAGAAAACGGGATGCATGCATTGAGGACGGAATGTGAGATTCTTTTGCGAAGACAATTCCCTGAGATAGTTACACCCTTGAAGATGTTTGGCACTTGGTTCCGATTCGTCATCGAAAAGACGTAAAACAATGAATTCGTATAAATTTAAATAAAAATCCTTCCTCACTAATGTCTCCTCTTACATTTCCAATTGAAGTCGCTATTCTGTAATCAAACTTAAGTGCAATAACTTACTTCTAAAGTATCGTTTTCTGAGTTATGCTAAGCAATTCACTCTTTCTGTAAAACTGTACAGAATTCCAACCAATGGAAAGTTTTCTTTTTCTTATTTATATGTTCGATTTTCATAATTTTCTGTAGGGTTCTTCACTTTTGGAATTACTGCAAGCCGAACGAACTATAAACGCTACAATAACTATTAAAAATATGATTACGCCTACAAGAACGAATATTAAACATTCGACTGTCCTTGTGTTCAGTTTTAAGTCTAAAAAGTAAACTCTTCCATCCTCTACAGGTGTCAAAGTATTTTTGCAATGTTCTAAAGCTTGCACGACATTCTCCCAAAAAGAAATGATTGGATCGTTACATCCGGAAACTGTAGAATTCTCATTCATATTAACGTTGAAATGAAGAATTGTTTTGTTGACGTAAGTGTATCTGGGCCACGTTAAATGTGGGTAATTTTCAAATTCAGGATGCCTACAGAAAACAAATAAAACATTTATAAATGTCAAAATATATGAAAGCTTCATTAATTTTAAAATTTTAAATTAGAATATATACGAGTATATTTATATAATAAAAACTTCAACCTACCCATTTTTTGCAAAATTACTAAAAGCAGCGACTGTTTTCAGACTGAGTTTCTTTTCTTCTGGTGTAGAATTTGCATATTGATAAGCCAAACCAAAAGTAAACAGAACATCATCGCCATGAGCAGCAGAAATAAATGGAGGCTGAATTGAAAACGACGGTCTGTGATCGAACTGATAGACGTAAACACGATTTCTGACCGAAGCCAATCTTGCTAACTTCTCCATGTTGTTTTTAATATATAAATCTCCACAAAATTGAATATATTTGTCTCTCAAGTTTTTCCTAGAATCATCCATATATCTGTATTTATCATATGCTACTTCTTCTAAAATAGAATTTTCAGTCTTGTAATAGTCGAGAAGATTGTCTTTTAAGAGTTCTTTAAATCTGTAACTTTGTAAGGTGTTTCCAATGATATCTTGATAAGCGGGAGAATTCAAAAAATACAAAGTCAGCAAACAAATAGAACCTTCGTCCTTATTGGTGCCAAGGAGGAGATCCGTACTTGTTTGGATGCCTCGTTCGAACGTTGTCATCGGATCTTCAGTCAAGAAATGTCCGTCTATAACGGGTCGCCATCTGTCAGAAAGAGGTAATGCGGCCTTCAGTAATTCATCTGCTGGCATTAGTTGTAAACATTCGATTGAATTTATCGCTTTATCACATCCAGTTAATTTGGTTAATTGTTCCAAGGCTTCTTTCGGTTTATCTTCGAAAATATAATTGCCAGTAGCTATACCACTTTGGATAATAGCTCTTTTAAAAAGTCTTTCGTTATAATGGAGAGGTGATGCCAAATGCATAGAAACTGCCATAGCTCCTGTAAATCTGCCAAACAGCGTTACTCTGTCGGGATCTCCCCCAAATTTTCTGATATTGTCGTGAACCCACTGTAGTGCCATTCTCTGATCGAGAAGACCAATATTTCCAGGAGCATTTGCAGTTAAAGAGGATAAGAAACCAAATACAGAAACTCTATAACTCACGGTAACGACGATAACTTTACCAAGAGCAGCCAGTTGGGTTCCATCGAATTGTGTCGGATCTGCGTAACTAAATCCTTCTCCAGCTAACCAAACCATTATCGGCATAACTTCTCTGCTTTCTGGGACATAAATGTTTAAATGCAGACAATCTTCGCTCCAGTTTGACATATTTCCATAGAATAAGAGAGGACTCATAACTTCTTTCAGATGAGGAGGCTGAGGACATTGCAGTCCCGATCGTGTGGCATCACCTTCTTGGAGTGCGGAATTCAATGCAATAGGAGGACGAAATCTGAGGTTCCCTAAAGGAGGTTGTGCATACGGAATGCCAAGATACTTGGTCACAGAACCTCGTTCGGTTTNTTTTTTTTTTTTTTTAACAGTTACCAAGATTTTTCAAACAGGAAATGTAGAAAACATTTACCAAAGAATAGGGCTTATTTATAGGGCAAACAATAGGGCAAAACAAAAAATATTTATTATTATTTATCACCGTTATGCATTTTAATTAATTAATAGAAAACTTTAATATAGTAATACTTACTAACAGTTAGATGCAAGTTACGAACTTCTCATCAAGAAATCTTTAAAATTCAACTACTTAAACTTAACTACGTTACAAGGAGTTACAAATGACGCGAATGTAAGCAGATTTAATGTAATAGTAAAGCGTAAACAAAAGTGTTTACGTTCTAATGCATATTCAATTTTGAAATTCAGCAAATATTTTAATTATAGTTTATTTTATATTTAATTATTAAAAAGTCAAAATGTGTAGCTTTATTTACTTAAATTCATTGAATTCTTGTATGTATATATTTTTTTATCTATTTAAAATTGAAAACTTTTTTTATCGCTGGTTACGGAATGTATGAACTTGACCTAAATCGCTATCATCATCTTAACTTCGCATTAATTCTGTTAAATTTGTTTAAAAACAATGGAAATATAACACTGGATTCCACGCGAAAGCGGCTAATTAATAAGCCAATAATTATGAACATCTTCAAATTAAACAGTTTTATCGTCAAAAGTTTATGAAGAAATATTTAACATCATAACTGTAGAGAAAAAAAATTGATGAATTAACTATATACGTCTAATAATAGGAAGTTAGCAAGGTCAATATGACGGATGGATTTCTCTTCCTATCGTTTCTTATTCAGCTAAACGCCCACAATCTTTTTTCACTTCTATAAAACACTTTTTATATTTATTTCAATTTATTTTCAATTAAAGAATCTTTGTTGCAGATATTATTCAAGAATGGGCGATTATTTTGGAAAAGAGAATTTTAAATTAAAGAAAAATTTTTTCATTGTAAATTTATTTAGTATTCTATTAATGAAGATGTAGCCAAGTCCGTCGAAAGCTTGAATAGAGGCCCGGGGATAAAGCGGGTCTTTTTTATCCCGTAGCGGGCCCCTTTTGCCTTGTTTTGAACAAATGAAATACATAGAATTAAGCTTTATTTACAAAAAGCAGACTTAAAGTATTTAAGTTTTTTAGTAAAAATAACACTAATTCATAGAAGTAGGAATAACTTCAGGCCCCAATTTTCCTGGGCTCGGAGAAGAATTGGGGCCTGTAGTGATTTTACTCGGGAAAAATCCCCCAATATCCCTCTCGAAAGCTCTGTATCAGATAGACTACTAGAATAATTCCTATTGTAATAATTAATTACGTCCAATAGAAGAAAATAATAATATAGTAAATCGAATTAAGTATTAAAGTTTTTAAAAATCATTTTAAAGAGCAATTTTTTCCTGATACTTTCGAAATAGCCTATTTTATGATATAGGCTACCTTTCGAAACAACTATGTAAAAGATTGACATCTAATATAAAACTATTTTAGAAATAGAAGAAAAGTTTCAAAATTGGAAAAAAAACTTATTTCAAAACAAATAGGTTAAAAGTAAAAATCATGCTCATATATTTACTTTGATTTTATAGTAACGATGCAGAAAATTTAACTTTAATTAACGTAAGTCTATTATAAAAATATTAATATTGCAACAAATAATATTTAAATTAATATAATATAAACACGAATTTCGGTCGATCCTGTTCCGTAATNATTAATTAAAAATTTCCATTAATAGATGCGATGAATGAAAATATTTACATATAGGCCTACCTCTTATCATTTGAAAAACAAACAAATAAATAAATGATAAGACTTATTTCTAAATTAGACCAAACCGTAACTCATGCAGAAGGTCCTAAACTTGTCAACATTTCTTATTAAATTAGGTCTAGAAGTATTAGTTACATAATATCGATCGTTATATCATACGATACAGTATCCTTATCTATAATTAGGCTAAAATTGAGGGTCAAGAGAACACACGTCGTTTGTAGAACTTTTATTTCAAACATCTTGTCTTTCTATCTGTAAAGTTGCGTTCTCATTTCCATGATTATAAAACCAGGTTGTCCTATATTACATCATATCTATAAGGTTTCAACAACACTTATAAAAACGGGGCAAGATTAACTTTTTAAATGTAATTTATTTACAAATATAAATAAAGATATTATTTATAAACATAAATGAAACGAGTTATGCAAAATATGAAGTCTAAATTCTGAAAACTCTTATTGAGAACGAACACGTTCAAGATATTTTCATTTAGCCTATTAGAAGTTGATTTTAAAATCCTGTTACCGCTAATATTTATTCAATGTCATAATTTGTTAATGAAAATGTAAATATTATTGAGTCTATAAAGCAAAATATCGCTTAGATTTTCCAGATTTTAATGAACTTAAATGACATATTACTGATTAATTGGCTGTCTGGCACGAAATACCGATCAATCTTTTACATTTTTTAACAATTAAATTGCACGATTTATTTTGTTACAAATTATTTAGAAATCAATAAAAGTATTTAAAAACAAATAAAATTGGTTTACATCTGCTCCTGTTGCAATGGTGTCAGGTCAATATCGCATTATTATTCATTTTGTTGGTACGCTATGTCAAAAGTGTTTCTAAATATTATGTAACAGTATTTGACAATCGAACAAATCCTTTTGCACAAAGTGGGTCAAGTTATGTAAATAACTTTCATTAATACTACGTTTAATGCGAATATTATCATTATAATTACTCTTCCTGCTTTCTTCATAGATATCGAGACAAACCACAGAAATTTCCAAAAAGGAGATTTTACTCAAAATATTACTCAATAACGGCACTTACTCAATGACATTTGTTGTATGACCCGAACAAGTTTGATATGATTTGTTCATAAGTGTTCATGAATTAAATACATTTCCATTTTACTATTTTTGGTATAGCCTATGAAGTTCTCTAAAATATTTTTTAATTCAATAAATTTAGTTATTCTTACCCTTTAAAATAATAATAATTTTGAAAATTACGTTTACAGATTTTGTTATTTTAATACATTTAAATTATGATTATGGTAACACCTTTGATAATTACGTTTATGTTTTGTCGTGCAATAATACTTAAATTCCGGATGTGTATAATGTAACTTCGATAATTTCATCTATTTCCTTTCTTATCCCGAATTTATAACAATAATTAAATAAAATTTGTACTATTTTAATATCATCATTAATTATCAAAATATTTAATTAATTAAGTAAAAAATTAATTAAAATTTCAATATGAAATTAATTAAATTGTATTTAATAATGATATAAAAATTGATTAAATGTTTAAAAATTTATTAAAATATTTTATTGAACATCTTCACAAATGACAATGAGATAAATGACAATGATTGAACAGAAAGAATGATAATGCTTATCATTCGTATTTGAGAGGGAAAAAATGATAACTGATTAGATATAATGAGTAACATAAAAGACAGAAATTCACTTGGACGTATGAAGCTTTGCAGTTTGTTTCATCGAACCAGGTGACTAGAAATTATTGGCAGGTTCCGTCACACCATTAAGAAGAGAAAACGGGATGCATGCATTGAGGACGGAATGTGAGATTCTTTTGCGAAGACAATTCCCTGAGATAGTTACACCCTTGAAGATGTTTGGCACTTGGTTCCGATTCGTCATCGAAAAGACGTAAAACAATGAATTCGTATAAATTTAAATAAAAATCCTTCCTCACTAATGTCTCCTCTTACATTTCCAATTGAAGTCGCTATTCTGTAATCAAACTTAAGTGCAATAACTTACTTCTAAAGTATCGTTTTCTGAGTTATGCTAAGCAATTCACTCTTTCTGTAAAACTGTACAGAATTCCAACCAATGGAAAGTTTTCTTTTTCTTATTTATATGTTCGATTTTCATAATTTTCTGTAGGGTTCTTCACTTTTGGAATTACTGCAAGCCGAACGAACTATAAACGCTACAATAACTATTAAAAATATGATTACGCCTACAAGAACGAATATTAAACATTCGACTGTCCTTGTGTTCAGTTTTAAGTCTAAAAAGTAAACTCTTCCATCCTCTACAGGTGTCAAAGTATTTTTGCAATGTTCTAAAGCTTGCACGACATTCTCCCAAAAAGAAATGATTGGATCGTTACATCCGGAAACTGTAGAATTCTCATTCATATTAACGTTGAAATGAAGAATTGTTTTGTTGACGTAAGTGTATCTGGGCCACGTTAAATGTGGGTAATTTTCAAATTCAGGATGCCTACAGAAAACAAATAAAACATTTATAAATGTCAAAATATATGAAAGCTTCATTAATTTTAAAATTTTAAATTAGAATATATACGAGTATATTTATATAATAAAAACTTCAACCTACCCATTTTTTGCAAAATTACTAAAAGCAGCGACTGTTTTCAGACTGAGTTTCTTTTCTTCTGGTGTAGAATTTGCATATTGATAAGCCAAACCAAAAGTAAACAGAACATCATCGCCATGAGCAGCAGAAATAAATGGAGGCTGAATTGAAAACGACGGTCTGTGATCGAACTGATAGACGTAAACACGATTTCTGACCGAAGCCAATCTTGCTAACTTCTCCATGTTGTTTTTAATATATAAATCTCCACAAAATTGAATATATTTGTCTCTCAAGTTTTTCCTAGAATCATCCATATATCTGTATTTATCATATGCTACTTCTTCTAAAATAGAATTTTCAGTCTTGTAATAGTCGAGAAGATTGTCTTTTAAGAGTTCTTTAAATCTGTAACTTTGTAAGGTGTTTCCAATGATATCTTGATAAGCGGGAGAATTCAAAAAATACAAAGTCAGCAAACAAATAGAACCTTCGTCCTTATTGGTGCCAAGGAGGAGATCCGTACTTGTTTGGATGCCTCGTTCGAACGTTGTCATCGGATCTTCAGTCAAGAAATGTCCGTCTATAACGGGTCGCCATCTGTCAGAAAGAGGTAATGCGGCCTTCAGTAATTCATCTGCTGGCATTAGTTGTAAACATTCGATTGAATTTATCGCTTTATCACATCCAGTTAATTTGGTTAATTGTTCCAAGGCTTCTTTCGGTTTATCTTCGAAAATATAATTGCCAGTAGCTATACCACTTTGGATAATAGCTCTTTTAAAAAGTCTTTCGTTATAATGGAGAGGTGATGCCAAATGCATAGAAACTGCCATAGCTCCTGTAAATCTGCCAAACAGCGTTACTCTGTCGGGATCTCCCCCAAATTTTCTGATATTGTCGTGAACCCACTGTAGTGCCATTCTCTGATCGAGAAGACCAATATTTCCAGGAGCATTTGCAGTTAAAGAGGATAAGAAACCAAATACAGAAACTCTATAACTCACGGTAACGACGATAACTTTACCAAGAGCAGCCAGTTGGGTTCCATCGAATTGTGTCGGATCTGCGTAACTAAATCCTTCTCCAGCTAACCAAACCATTATCGGCATAACTTCTCTGCTTTCTGGGACATAAATGTTTAAATGCAGACAATCTTCGCTCCAGTTTGACATATTTCCATAGAATAAGAGAGGACTCATAACTTCTTTCAGATGAGGAGGCTGAGGACATTGCAGTCCCGATCGTGTGGCATCACCTTCTTGGAGTGCGGAATTCAATGCAATAGGAGGACGAAATCTGAGGTTCCCTAAAGGAGGTTGTGCATACGGAATGCCAAGATACTTGGTCACAGAACCTCGTTCGGTTTCTACTCTAAGTCCTCTCAACATTCCATTAGTAGCGCTAACGTCGGCCCGTACCACAGCGCCAAACGCAAAAGCTAGCAGGTAGAGAAACATCTTTTGAGTTTGGCTATTTGTGAGCTTGTGTGTGAAGCGCATGTGTCTACCTCTCTATATAGTCGGTAGTCACGTGAATGGAGGATGTCATCGACCTTACAGTCACGTGTTCTATCTGGGGGCGATCGAAGGTCGAGTGTGGAGTTCCCGCAATAGTTTTCAACTGGCTGGCATCTACAGCCACTTGGATTTGTCAAGAGCTCTCTCTGCCAGCGGTTGATTCGACGCATTATTGTCCTTTCGCTTTGTGCGTATAACTTATCGCTGTATTTGTTAAAAAACTGTATGTTACACATATATATATGCATGTATTTCTTTTTTTTATTTCGCTCTATTTCGTATCTTATTGCAACATTGTATTTTTACTAATGACGATGATGTCACTTTATTTCAAATGTTTTTAAATTTTAAAAATTATTTTATATGTAACTATTTTCGTTATTTCTTCCACATTAACTTTAACGCTGTTTAAAATTATTTCTAATAGTTAAATAGAGGTCAAAGATAAATTTTAACCAAATTAAGTGGCGTAGATATAAAATTTTACAATTATTGTCGTTCTATTAGATATAAGACTCCATCCACTACTAAATATTTTCTATCTCGCATCGTTATTTTTATCAAAGTATAAATTTAAACCGCTTGAACTTTAATCTTTTAAAAGGCATAGACCTGTAAAAAAATCATTTCCAGAAATTCTAGAATCATAACTAAAAAAAATCCTATTAATCAAAATATTTATTTAACCGATTTTAACATCTTAACCTCCATTAAATTTACAGACCGCAAGTTAAAATGACAAACTTTCGATAATCCGACTAACCGGAAATATTTGCGACAATATCAGACATCTGCTAGCTTCTATTATTGATGTTATTAAAAATAAATATTAAATAATTCTTTTTGTAGTAGACAATAATTTGCTTAATAGAAGTCGTTTACCTTTGAATTCATCTCATACTTTGTACCCTTGGGGATATAAATTATCTTTTCGAGGGAAAAGATGAGAATAAATTTAAAAAAAAGCACAGTAATATAAACGACACGGGTTTATCATTTTGGTTTGCTATAATTATGGAAGTTTAATGAACTTGGGAATTCTATGAAGTCAACGGAATTTGACATGACTAAAAACTGTTGATAAAAGAAAATTAGGAAATGTTCCTCTAAAGTCAGCAGTTATGATATATCATTTTTAAAATCGGGTTTTTAACCCTACGCTTCTTAGAAGTAGTCAAATTATTATTATATTTTTGAGTAAAAAATTTATTTTTGTAGACTATAAACTATTCCTCAATAAATTCTATACGTTAATTAACGCAAACAATCGCGAGTTATTTATATTTAAACAAGTAACAATTAATTAATATACGAAAAACATACAAACACATTAAGTTTTTTTAAAAAAAGAAAGTTAACATAAAATTAAATGAATGAATGTAGACCCTATAAATAAATAAATCCAATTTAAATTACTGCGTGTTTTATTATTAATGCCATATAGATTAAGGTACTGGATATAAATCTATAAATTTGTTAGACATAAGAATAAGAATATATGTTTAATATACATAAACATAAATTACATATCCAAGACTGTTAAAAAAATAAAACTAATCAGTTTTCCCGGTAGTAGAAAGAAAGAGTGTCTACTTGTATGATGCTATTCCGCCTTGACGTCACTAACCAGTCGCTTTTTTTTTTTAAAATAGTGGTAAGAGAAAAAAGAAAAAAATATTTTATGACATCATCTCAGGATGCAAGACTTGTGAAGGGGAATGACCAGATGTTAGCGAGAATATTTTTCGTCTTTTCTTAAAAATTTCTATAAAGACCGCAATCAAATTTCCCAATATTTTTACTTAATAAGCTTATTGAATCACAAATACTAATTCGAGAGTTGGCTCGAATTACTATTAGTTCGACAACTTCAATAAAAATTTCAGTGTCAGTAGAAAAATTCAATATTATTTTTTAATTTGCTTGTTATGCATTATTTAGGGCGTTTAACTCGTATTTTTGTTTTAATATGTTATTTGTTATCGTCAATTTACCATAATTTTTATAGTATATTTTACAACTTTGCAAAATAATTTAAGAAGTAATAATTAATTGTCTGTAAGTAGGCGGTTTTTTTAGAGAGAATATGATAATAATCCTCCAACTATTATCATATTATAATTGGATTACCGGAGGATTATTATCATATTCTCTAATAAAATATTTTATGAAAATAAGTTTCTAATAAAAGATTTTTTTATAAAAATAGAAAATGAAGAATGATATTTTTAATCGGTTCTGATAAGATTTTTTTGACTTAAGCTTACAGAATCTAGAAAACTTTTTTTTTTTCCTGTTTATAAAACTTTGATGCAATTCTTGAAATAAAAATAAAATTTAATAAAAAGACGTCTTCTGAAAGTCCTAAACTAATAGCTTTTTCTTGAATTTATTTATCGAATATTTAAGAGGCAAAAACAAAGTTAATCGCTACTGATTCAACAGAAATATAAGCGTCAAATTATAAAACAATTCTTAAAATGAGTTATTATGAGTTAAAAAGATTATTAAAGCACTATCAATTTTCAGATATTTTAAAGAGAATTTTAACTACTTTATATTCATCCGTAATTCAAATTACAATACTTATTATTGGTACAGTACTGTACAGTACATGTACTATGCGTTGCTCTATTAAATATTCCTTAAGACGGCCGAAAACTTGCATAACGTCATTAATATTAATATAACGTAAAAATTGAATTAACATTCTCAACGTTTAATTTTGTAATTTTATTAATAATTAGTTAATTGGTTTATAAATTTCGCCAGTTTTTACAAAAGCAAAAAAACGTTAAAACAACATTCAAATAATCCAATCGCGATCGGCAATTTGGAAATTTAATTCTATAAATATTTTAATTAAAAAAGACGGTAGAAATCAAATAAAAATTAACTATCAGGCTCTTTTATTTAATTATTTGTAAAATTAAGACTTATTTATTTATTTATATATTTATAAATGGGAAGATTCGAATCAACAGTAGGCTATACTGTACTTACCAAGAAAAAATCCAGACACAATTTTAAAATAAAAAAAAAATAGATTTCTATATCGAAAGTAAACAGAGATAAGTAATTTAAAAAAAAATTAGATTTAATTTTATTATGTAAAAACTTTAATCAAGAAGACTGTGATGTAATAAATCAAATTTTTCAGAAAAGTAGAAATATTTGGACATAGTTATTTCTAAATAAAAAGGGAAACTGTGTTGAAATATACAGATATAAATTTCTTACAAATTTAGAAAAGACTACGTGCTTTTCCGATTCCAAAAGTTCAAGGTTATAATAAAGAAACTCGGGCAAATTAGAAAAACAATCTTTATTTTACTAATAGGTGATTGATCTTAAATAATACGAATAGCGATTGGCTACGCTCCCGGTACCAGTTTGACTTCGTTTATATTGGATTTAAATCGAAATAAACTGCTAATTGATGAAAATAAATAGCGTAGAAGAGTCAAGGATGGAGTGACGTAGATGCTCGAGTTGTTTCAGCAATTATTCATTATCGCATCTGTTTATTATATTAGTATTAAAAAAAAAAAAGCTCTTTACCTATCATCTTTGATCTATTATCTATAACACGCGAAACGTTGAACGAATTTTATTGGATACAACAAATCCAGCACAGAGAAAAATAACCAAACTTTCAAAAATATTATTTCAACATTTTTAAGATTGACTTAAAAACATTATTTATAGCGATATTGATCGAAGAGATTTTATTAACTTGTAAATATTATCATCTAAATATATATTAAAAAATCTATAAATTTGTTATTTTTCAAATTACCTTTATTTTTTCTCACTTTAAACCTCTAATGATGGAAAAGTTTTAGGCCTATATTGTAGATAGGAAATAAACACGAGATAAATATCAATCAATGGAAGATTTCACCTTAACTCTAAGACTTTAATTGTGTATATTTGTGTCAAATTTTATAAACATCGTTAATGAAAAATTAATCAGATATAATAGAGATTTCATAATCAAATAAATATACTTTACATGTTAGTAACACATTTATTTTTCTTGTCTTTTAATATTTCAATTCATTTTGTTTACAAATAAAATAATAGTTAATTTTTTATATTATTATCGATTATATAAATATTACTTGTTATGTAAATCTGTTTATATTTTAATAATTTAAACAGACAGCTTCAACTTAGAATTATTCATAGTCAACTTTTGTCTCTTCTCCATTAGTATTTATTAGAAATAATATTGCTTTATTACATTGTACTTTAGTATAAAAAACAAAATTTTTAACTAGAATAATTGTATTGACATTATAAGAACGGACTTTATCCTCAATTTATTTAAAAGCTGTTTCATGATAATTTAATGGAAATTTAACAATTGCCATTATGAAAACACCACGTCTTCCCTTTTTTATTAAATAAAATTTAAAGAATAAAATTTTTAAAATTCCATTAGATTTAACTTATATACATTAGAATATTATAAATCTAGAAGTGTTAAGTGTATTCTTTTATATTTTTCGCTGTTACTCGTTTCATATTATATCTGTTTAAATTTTACTATAATAACTGATTTATGAATTATGCTAAAATATTTATAATTTACTTAAATTTTTAATAATTTAATGCGATTAAAATTTAAAAAAGTTTACATTATAGCAGTGTAGAATATCATAAATAATTCGCATCATAACTGTAGAGAAAAAAAATTGATGAATTAACTATATACGTCTAATAATAGGAAGTTAGCAAGGTCAATATGACGGATGGATTTCTCTTCCTATCGTTTCTTATTCAGCTAAACGCCCACAATCTTTTTTCACTTCTATAAAACACTTTTTATATTTATTTCAATTTATTTTCAATTAAAGAATCTTTGTTGCAGATATTATTCAAGAATGGGCGATTATTTTGGAAAAGAGAATTTTAAATTAAAGAAAAATTTTTTCATTGTAAATTTATTTAGTATTCTATTAATGAAGATGTAGCCAAGTCCGTCGAAAGCTTGAATAGAGGCCCGGGGATAAAGCGGGTCTTTTTTATCCCGTAGCGGGCCCCTTTTGCCTTGTTTTGAACAAATGAAATACATAGAATTAAGCTTTATTTACAAAAAGCAGACTTAAAGTATTTAAGTTTTTTAGTAAAAATAACACTAATTCATAGAAGTAGGAATAACTTCAGGCCCCAATTTTCCTGGGCTCGGAGAAGAATTGGGGCCTGTAGTGATTTTACTCGGGAAAAATCCCCCAATATCCCTCTCGAAAGCTCTGTATCAGATAGACTACTAGAATAATTCCTATTGTAATAATTAATTACGTCCAATAGAAGAAAATAATAATATAGTAAATCGAATTAAGTATTAAAGTTTTTAAAAATCATTTTAAAGAGCAATTTTTTCCTGATACTTTCGAAATAGCCTATTTTATGATATAGGCTACCTTTCGAAACAACTATGTAAAAGATTGACATCTAATATAAAACTATTTTAGAAATAGAAGAAAAGTTTCAAAATTGGAAAAAAAACTTATTTCAAAACAAATAGGTTAAAAGTAAAAATCATGCTCATATATTTACTTTGATTTTATAGTAACGATGCAGAAAATTTAACTTTAATTAACGTAAGTCTATTATAAAAATATTAATATTGCAACAAATAATATTTAAATTAATATAATATAAACACGAATTTCGGTCGATCCTGTTCCGTAATTTAAAACGAAAGTAGAATATATCAAATATAATTTACAAAGTAGTAACTATTTAAAAATAATAACAGAGTTTAACTGATTAAAACAGTGAGAGTAAATATCTCTTATGAAATCTATCATAAAATAAAACAATATATAAATTATAAGAAAATTACGATTTTATAATTATTATATTGATATTTATCAGAGAAAATGAGTAAAGATAAAAATTACAAGCATCATCCCATATCATCCGACACCATCCCATTTTAAAGAGATATCATCCGATTCAAAATCAATATTTTATTGGCGTTTAAGTTGAAGATAATAACAAGATTACTACACTTACATAATTTATATCTAGAATTATAATACCATTATAATATAAGATTAATTAATCCATAAATATATAGGATGTACGATTTGACAAATCATATTATAATAACCTAAAAAATAAATCAAATGAATTTACTTTTAGGATTTTGGGGGAGTGATTTAAAGCTCGATAAAATCTATAAATTACAATTATCTGATGGCACGTATATTCTTCCAACAATAGAATTTTATGCTGTAGAATATTATTTTAATTTATAGTCTTTATCAAACCATGAAATCAAAATATTTTAAAATTACGAAAGTAAGATTGGCATCGTATTATTTTTATCCCTTCAAGTAATAAATAATAGATTAGGTAACTATTAGCTTCTGAAATTACATTTTATTCAAAATTTTAACTTATTTAGCATTTTTTTTTTTTTTTAACAGTTACCAAGATTTTTCAAACAGGAAATGTAGAAAACATTTACCAAAGAATAGGGCTTATTTATAGGGCAAACAATAGGGCAAAACAAAAAATATTTATTATTATTTATCACCGTTATGCATTTTAATTAATTAATAGAAAACTTTAATATAGTAATACTTACTAACAGTTAGATGCAAGTTACGAACTTCTCATCAAGAAATCTTTAAAATTCAACTACTTAAACTTAACTACGTTACAAGGAGTTACAAATGACGCGAATGTAAGCAGATTTAATGTAATAGTAAAGCGTAAACAAAAGTGTTTACGTTCTAATGCATATTCAATTTTGAAATTCAGCAAATATTTTAATTATAGTTTATTTTATATTTAATTATTAAAAAGTCAAAATGTGTAGCTTTATTTACTTAAATTCATTGAATTCTTGTATGTATATATTTTTTTATCTATTTAAAATTGAAAACTTTTTTTATCGCTGGTTACGGAATGTATGAACTTGACCTAAATCGCTATCATCATCTTAACTTCGCATTAATTCTGTTAAATTTGTTTAAAAACAATGGAAATATAACACTGGATTCCACGCGAAAGCGGCTAATTAATAAGCCAATAATTATGAACATCTTCAAATTAAACAGTTTTATCGTCAAAAGTTTATGAAGAAATATTTAAAAATTATAAATTTTAATCGAAATAGAAAGTTTCTCGATGGACTTTTACTTATTTATTAGGTTTAACCGGCTTACTTAAAAGCATTTTCACAGCTTTTTTAGTGAATATTCTTTAACTGTTTTTAATGTGACATGCGCTTAAATCAGATAAATTTGAAAACGTAATTAACAGTAAGAATTGATAAAGGAAAATTAACAAAACAGTAGATCAAGGTCGGTCACGAAACTTGGCCAAGGTCTGGTGTGTTCATGCAACTCTGAACTGATGACAGATGGAAAATGTGCTTTCTAATTTTACTAAAAGATACGTGGGAATACATCTTTTCATTCACTTTACTCATGTTAACTCCCTTTAAATTTTATAAACATTACATCATAATATAGTAAAATAGAATTTTTCTAAAGCTTTATCTAAAAAAAAAACAAACCTTTCTTCAATTAAAAAGTTTTAATTAATACACCTCATACATTACACGTTTAGTCTTTTAATTAATGTTAAAATATTAAATATTTGGATTATTACACAATATTAATACTACAATCAAAGCCCAACAACGTACACAAAAGAAGATAGAAAACAAATACTGTAGTTATAAATGGAGAAGGTAGAAATCAAAGATAAATGTGTATTTTTAAGATTATCGTAATTTTCAAAAGGGTGAATAAACTGATTATAAATTTTATCTAATTAAAATTTTCCAGAAAATTGTTTAAAAATGACTTTATCTAATAAAATGTTTAAAATATTTTGATTTGGAGGTTTACTTCGCTGACAGGTAGCCAATGTTTTCAAAAATATTTGAGAACATTCCAACTTTAAACTCGTTTGAAAATTGGAATGTCCTCAAATATTTTTGACTATTGTTTAAATTCTGTTGTTGACTGTTAGAGACAATAGTTTAGTATCATTAACGTCATTTTAGTTTTCATCAAATTAGTTATACCCTCATCGCTGCTACTTTCTATTTTCTTCACACTTTAACCGATGGTTTTAGACATTTTTATTTTTAGCAATAAATATTTATTTGGTCACATAATTATTTTAAGACCTTTAAAATATTTTCATGGATATCTTTGTAATGTAATAGTAAAATTATTCACATCACAAAAGTGACGTTTGGTTTTAAAAAATGAATTTGATTTTTAAATTACTCTTCTAATTCTTTAACGTATTAAAATATTAAATTTTTATATAATTAAGGCTGTTATTTTCTTATATTTTCACCGTAATGTTTTCAGATATCTGCTGAACGATAGTATTGTTGAATAGTCAACATGGAATAGAATAGTAAAACTGGAACAATTTTTGATGACGTTGACTTTGACTGTGATTCAGCGTTAAAAATTGAATGGGTGTGCTCCTTACTTAATTCACAATTCTGTATTTCAAATGTAAAAATGTATGTAGAGACTGGACGTAATGAACAAAATTTTATTTTAAAAGGTTCTTATGAAATAAACATAAATTTTCTCTAGTGAAATATTCCAAAAATAAATTTTGATAATTTTTAATAAGAATTTCCTTTAGATGACTCGCATGTCGCAATTTAATTATATTTAAAGTACGCTTGAGCAATCTACTTTATGATAGGGCTAAATGATTTCTTACGAGTGAGTAATTTTATTCTGTGTTCACCACAGATTTTACACAGAACATAAAAACTGGTAATCTTTTTTTCTTTTTTAAGAAACGCAACTTCTCATTACATTAAAATCACGACTTTTTCGTCACGCATGTGCCAAATAAGGCATATTAAGTACAGAATTTCCTAAAATCGATACACGTGTATATAAATGTATAGCAATATTCTTCTTTTAATTTTATTGTGACCCCCATTTCTCATTCACGATCATCCAATGTCCGTTATCGACGTTATTACAGAAATCACAACCGTCCTTGGATCAAGTCATTCACTCGCCTAACTGGCGAAGTTCCAAAACCTTGACATTCTCTATGATCCGAACTATAAGCGAGTATCATAAATACTATCCTGTGTGATCGAAATCTATTTTATGATTAACCTATATTAAACAATCACCTCTTTTATTCAAAATTCAAACTCTGCATCTGTAACAAATGTTGCCACGCCAGTCTTCATTGATCTATGACCTACCTTTTATCGTCACCGAAAAACCTTGAAATTTCAATTTTATTTTTATTTTTATTTCATTATAAAAACTGCACTGTTCGACTCTCGAACATTGATTTCTTTCAATGTAAATTTACACACCAAAGCGAAATATTATATGCTAAAGAATTTCCTACATATCAATTTTAATTATTGATATTTTTTTTATAAAATTTGAAATTGTTCATAGAACGCAATAAGTTATTATCTGTTTGACGTCACTTCAGATATTAAGTTTCGAATCTAATTGAGTCATTTCCTTTAAGTTTGCAAATCGGAAATTAAATAAATAAATAAATAAATGCAAAAACATTAAACTCTTTCAGAGTAATGAGTCCTTGAATTCTAACCTGGCATTATCGAAAAATCTAAAGTTGATAGAATTATACAGGATGTAGACACAAACATTGCACCAAAATGTATTTCGTCTCTTCTACGAAATAACTAAATGCGATTGCACTGGGGTATAGGTAATCAATAATGGGCTACCGTTGGTTTGGACGCCATCTCCAACTCCTTCCCATGGGCAAATCCTATCGTAGATCCTACGAAAGATAATGGCATAGTTTAAATTACAAATCCTAGAGCATGATCAATACGAAAAATTTCTGTTAAAATATTCAAAGGGGAAATGGTTGAACACAGTAAAAAAATGAGTTGCGAAAACGTGTGTGGCTTTTCTGAATGGTATCGAAATCAGAATAAGAATTTATTTTTTTTCCAGTAAAAAAGCTTTTAAATAATAGTCTAAAGTTCGTTACACATTAACTAGATAATGGTTCACAACTGGATATCGGTTGATAAATCGAATTAGAACATATCAGTACGGTTGCACCAAGTATTTTGGATTATATATTTCAATATTTTCTTTATGTAATTATAAATAATTTAATGTAATTAATTTATTAATTATTTATTCAAATTTTAATATGTTTTATTCAACAATATAAATACTAGTAAGGTTAAGTTAAGTGATAGAAAATGTTAAAATAGGCTAATAGTAAGAAGCTGATGACGTGATTCACAAATCTCTGCCATTAATTAATATTATTTGGAGTATTTAAACCAAAAATGTTATCAAAAATTATAAAAATATCACCAAATACATTTAGAAAATGCCACTCTTTATGATATTGATATCGTTCTGTTCACTGATATTTACCAATCAGATGATAATATACAAAAAATATTTTTTAAACTAAACTGTTTCGGGTTTCAGAACATTTAAACATTTCACTTCTAAGAATATTTCGGTTTACTTTAATTTTTAATTCGTTTTTGACGACGGTTAAAAGAAGCGAATCTTATTTGGAAGCAATTCAATGAATTTTGGGAAAGGATGGAATCAAAAAATTTGCAAAGAATATTAATAGAATTAATGAAACTCAACCCAACTTTTACGAATAAAACTTATTGAAATTTAAAATAACATTTACAGGAAAATTAATTTTTAAACTTCAGTCGAATTATATTAATTAATAAACAAAAATTCCGTCATAAAGAAATTTAAACATTTACTTGGTACGAGTTTTTATAAAAGTTTTCTTTGTGGCTATGAATAAATGAATAATTTACAAGCGGGATTTTATATTTATACAATGAAAAAAGTCTTTAAAGAATGTTGGCAAATTTCCTTTATTTCGAATGACGGTCATTCATTGGAACATTTCCAACATTGCCGAGATGCGTGTCTGACTCCGCCCAATTATTTGAATGCTCGAATGGCAGATAAAGGCGTAGCGTAGCTCCACCTAATCCAGTCTTACCAGCCTTCCTAGTCTCTAATGAGATGAAGTAGAAATCCACACTTGGGATTCGGAAAGAACACCCATCGATCGAATCCCGACACACCTTCCAATCGCATCTATTTCATACCCAGAAACGAAAGACCCTTTTAAATATGATATTACAAATACATTAAAATTTTTTAATATATTTGTTCCATAACAAAATATAGTCTATAAAACAGTATTAATAGAAATTCTTTCTTTTTCCTNATGTAAAAACTTTAATCAAGAAGACTGTGATGTAATAAATCAAATTTTTCAGAAAAGTAGAAATATTTGGACATAGTTATTTCTAAATAAAAAGGGAAACTGTGTTGAAATATACAGATATAAATTTCTTACAAATTTAGAAAAAACTACGTGCTTTTCCGATTCCAAAAGTTCAAGGTTATAATAAAGAAACTCGGGCAAATTAGAAAAACAATCTTTATTTTACTAATAGGTGATTGATCTTAAATAATACGAATAGCGATTGGCTACGCTCCCGGTACCAGTTTGACTTCGTTTATATTGGATTTAAATCGAAATAAACTGCTAATTGATGAAAATAAATAGCGTAGAAGAGTCAAGGATGGAGTGACGTAGATGCTCGAGTTGTTTCAGCAATTATTCATTATCGCATCTGTTTATTATATTAGTATTAAAAAAAAAAAAGCTCTTTACCTATCATCTTTGATCTATTATCTATAACACGCGAAACGTTGAACGAATTTTATTGGATACAACAAATCCAGCACAGAGAAAAATAACCAAACTTTCAAAAATATTATTTCAACATTTTTAAGATTGACTTAAAAACATTATTTATAGCGATATTGATCGAAGAGATTTTATTAACTTGTAAATATTATCATCTAAATATATATTAAAAAATCTATAAATTTGTTATTTTTCAAATTACCTTTATTTTTTCTCACTTTAAACCTCTAATGATGGAAAAGTTTTAGGCCTATATTGTAGATAGGAAATAAACACGAGATAAATATCAATCAATGGAAGATTTCACCTTAACTCTAAGACTTTAATTGTGTATATTTGTGTCAAATTTTATAAACATCGTTAATGAAAAATTAATCAGATATAATAGAGATTTCATAATCAAATAAATATACTTTACATGTTAGTAACACATTTATTTTTCTTGTCTTTTAATATTTCAATTCATTTTGTTTACAAATAAAATAATAGTTAATTTTTTATATTATTATCGATTATATAAATATTACTTGTTATGTAAATCTGTTTATATTTTAATAATTTAAACAGACAGCTTCAACTTAGAATTATTCATAGTCAACTTTTGTCTCTTCTCCATTAGTATTTATTAGAAATAATATTGCTTTATTACATTGTACTTTAGTATAAAAAACAAAATTTTTAACTAGAATAATTGTATTGACATTATAAGAACGGACTTTATCCTCAATTTATTTAAAAGCTGTTTCATGATAATTTAATGGAAATTTAACAATTGCCATTATGAAAACACCACGTCTTCCCTTTTTTATTAAATAAAATTTAAAGAATAAAATTTTTAAAATTCCATTAGATTTAACTTATATACATTAGAATATTATAAATCTAGAAGTGTTAAGTGTATTCTTTTATATTTTTCGCTGTTACTCGTTTCATATTATATCTGTTTAAATTTTACTATAATAACTGATTTATGAATTATGCTAAAATATTTATAATTTACTTAAATTTTTAATAATTTAATGCGATTAAAATTTAAAAAAGTTTACATTATAGCAGTGTAGAATATCATAAATAATTCGCATCATAACTGTAGAGAAAAAAAATTGATGAATTAACTATATACGTCTAATAATAGGAAGTTAGCAAGGTCAATATGACGGATGGATTTCTCTTCCTATCGTTTCTTATTCAGCTAAACGCCCACAATCTTTTTTCACTTCTATAAAACACTTTTTATATTTATTTCAATTTATTTTCAATTAAAGAATCTTTGTTGCAGATATTATTCAAGAATGGGCGATTATTTTGGAAAAGAGAATTTTAAATTAAAGAAAAATTTTTTCATTGTAAATTTATTTAGTATTCTATTAATGAAGATGTAGCCAAGTCCGTCGAAAGCTTGAATAGAGGCCCGGGGATAAAGCGGGTCTTTTTTATCCCGTAGCGGGCCCCTTTTGCCTTGTTTTGAACAAATGAAATACATAGAATTAAGCTTTATTTACAAAAAGCAGACTTAAAGTATTTAAGTTTTTTAGTAAAAATAACACTAATTCATAGAAGTAGGAATAACTTCAGGCCCCAATTTTCCTGGGCTCGGAGAAGAATTGGGGCCTGTAGTGATTTTACTCGGGAAAAATCCCCCAATATCCCTCTCGAAAGCTCTGTATCAGATAGACTACTAGAATAATTCCTATTGTAATAATTAATTACGTCCAATAGAAGAAAATAATAATATAGTAAATCGAATTAAGTATTAAAGTTTTTAAAAATCATTTTAAAGAGCAATTTTTTCCTGATACTTTCGAAATAGCCTATTTTATGATATAGGCTACCTTTCGAAACAACTATGTAAAAGATTGACATCTAATATAAAACTATTTTAGAAATAGAAGAAAAGTTTCAAAATTGGAAAAAAAACTTATTTCAAAACAAATAGGTTAAAAGTAAAAATCATGCTCATATATTTACTTTGATTTTATAGTAACGATGCAGAAAATTTAACTTTAATTAACGTAAGTCTATTATAAAAATATTAATATTGCAACAAATAATATTTAAATTAATATAATATAAACACGAATTTCGGTCGATCCTGTTCCGTAATTTAAAACGAAAGTAGAATATATCAAATATAATTTACAAAGTAGTAACTATTTAAAAATAATAACAGAGTTTAACTGATTAAAACAGTGAGAGTAAATATCTCTTATGAAATCTATCATAAAATAAAACAATATATAAATTATAAGAAAATTACGATTTTATAATTATTATATTGATATTTATCAGAGAAAATGAGTAAAGATAAAAATTACAAGCATCATCCCATATCATCCGACACCATCCCATTTTAAAGAGATATCATCCGATTCAAAATCAATATTTTATTGGCGTTTAAGTTGAAGATAATAACAAGATTACTACACTTACATAATTTATATCTAGAATTATAATACCATTATAATATAAGATTAATTAATCCATAAATATATAGGATGTACGATTTGACAAATCATATTATAATAACCTAAAAAATAAATCAAATGAATTTACTTTTAGGATTTTGGGGGAGTGATTTAAAGCTCGATAAAATCTATAAATTACAATTATCTGATGGCACGTATATTCTTCCAACAATAGAATTTTATGCTGTAGAATATTATTTTAATTTATAGTCTTTATCAAACCATGAAATCAAAATATTTTAAAATTACGAAAGTAAGATTGGCATCGTATTATTTTTATCCCTTCAAGTAATAAATAATAGATTAGGTAACTATTAGCTTCTGAAATTACATTTTATTCAAAATTTTAACTTATTTAGCATTTTTTTTTTTTTTTAACAGTTACCAAGATTTTTCAAACAGGAAATGTAGAAAACATTTACCAAAGAATAGGGCTTATTTATAGGGCAAACAATAGGGCAAAACAAAAAATATTTATTATTATTTATCACCGTTATGCATTTTAATTAATTAATAGAAAACTTTAATATAGTAATACTTACTAACAGTTAGATGCAAGTTACGAACTTCTCATCAAGAAATCTTTAAAATTCAACTACTTAAACTTAACTACGTTACAAGGAGTTACAAATGACGCGAATGTAAGCAGATTTAATGTAATAGTAAAGCGTAAACAAAAGTGTTTACGTTCTAATGCATATTCAATTTTGAAATTCAGCAAATATTTTAATTATAGTTTATTTTATATTTAATTATTAAAAAGTCAAAATGTGTAGCTTTATTTACTTAAATTCATTGAATTCTTGTATGTATATATTTTTTTATCTATTTAAAATTGAAAACTTTTTTTATCGCTGGTTACGGAATGTATGAACTTGACCTAAATCGCTATCATCATCTTAACTTCGCATTAATTCTGTTAAATTTGTTTAAAAACAATGGAAATATAACACTGGATTCCACGCGAAAGCGGCTAATTAATAAGCCAATAATTATGAACATCTTCAAATTAAACAGTTTTATCGTCAAAAGTTTATGAAGAAATATTTAAAAATTATAAATTTTAATCGAAATAGAAAGTTTCTCGATGGACTTTTACTTATTTATTAGGTTTAACCGGCTTACTTAAAAGCATTTTCACAGCTTTTTTAGTGAATATTCTTTAACTGTTTTTAATGTGACATGCGCTTAAATCAGATAAATTTGAAAACGTAATTAACAGTAAGAATTGATAAAGGAAAATTAACAAAACAGTAGATCAAGGTCGGTCACGAAACTTGGCCAAGGTCTGGTGTGTTCATGCAACTCTGAACTGATGACAGATGGAAAATGTGCTTTCTAATTTTACTAAAAGATACGTGGGAATACATCTTTTCATTCACTTTACTCATGTTAACTCCCTTTAAATTTTATAAACATTACATCATAATATAGTAAAATAGAATTTTTCTAAAGCTTTATCTAAAAAAAAAACAAACCTTTCTTCAATTAAAAAGTTTTAATTAATACACCTCATACATTACACGTTTAGTCTTTTAATTAATGTTAAAATATTAAATATTTGGATTATTACACAATATTAATACTACAATCAAAGCCCAACAACGTACACAAAAGAAGATAGAAAACAAATACTGTAGTTATAAATGGAGAAGGTAGAAATCAAAGATAAATGTGTATTTTTAAGATTATCGTAATTTTCAAAAGGGTGAATAAACTGATTATAAATTTTATCTAATTAAAATTTTCCAGAAAATTGTTTAAAAATGACTTTATCTAATAAAATGTTTAAAATATTTTGATTTGGAGGTTTACTTCGCTGACAGGTAGCCAATGTTTTCAAAAATATTTGAGAACATTCCAACTTTAAACTCGTTTGAAAATTGGAATGTCCTCAAATATTTTTGACTATTGTTTAAATTCTGTTGTTGACTGTTAGAGACAATAGTTTAGTATCATTAACGTCATTTTAGTTTTCATCAAATTAGTTATACCCTCATCGCTGCTACTTTCTATTTTCTTCACACTTTAACCGATGGTTTTAGACATTTTTATTTTTAGCAATAAATATTTATTTGGTCACATAATTATTTTAAGACCTTTAAAATATTTTCATGGATATCTTTGTAATGTAATAGTAAAATTATTCACATCACAAAAGTGACGTTTGGTTTTAAAAAATGAATTTGATTTTTAAATTACTCTTCTAATTCTTTAACGTATTAAAATATTAAATTTTTATATAATTAAGGCTGTTATTTTCTTATATTTTCACCGTAATGTTTTCAGATATCTGCTGAACGATAGTATTGTTGAATAGTCAACATGGAATAGAATAGTAAAACTGGAACAATTTTTGATGACGTTGACTTTGACTGTGATTCAGCGTTAAAAATTGAATGGGTGTGCTCCTTACTTAATTCACAATTCTGTATTTCAAATGTAAAAATGTATGTAGAGACTGGACGTAATGAACAAAATTTTATTTTAAAAGGTTCTTATGAAATAAACATAAATTTTCTCTAGTGAAATATTCCAAAAATAAATTTTGATAATTTTTAATAAGAATTTCCTTTAGATGACTCGCATGTCGCAATTTAATTATATTTAAAGTACGCTTGAGCAATCTACTTTATGATAGGGCTAAATGATTTCTTACGAGTGAGTAATTTTATTCTGTGTTCACCACAGATTTTACACAGAACATAAAAACTGGTAATCTTTTTTTCTTTTTTAAGAAACGCAACTTCTCATTACATTAAAATCACGACTTTTTCGTCACGCATGTGCCAAATAAGGCATATTAAGTACAGAATTTCCTAAAATCGATACACGTGTATATAAATGTATAGCAATATTCTTCTTTTAATTTTATTGTGACCCCCATTTCTCATTCACGATCATCCAATGTCCGTTATCGACGTTATTACAGAAATCACAACCGTCCTTGGATCAAGTCATTCACTCGCCTAACTGGCGAAGTTCCAAAACCTTGACATTCTCTATGATCCGAACTATAAGCGAGTATCATAAATACTATCCTGTGTGATCGAAATCTATTTTATGATTAACCTATATTAAACAATCACCTCTTTTATTCAAAATTCAAACTCTGCATCTGTAACAAATGTTGCCACGCCAGTCTTCATTGATCTATGACCTACCTTTTATCGTCACCGAAAAACCTTGAAATTTCAATTTTATTTTTATTTTTATTTCATTATAAAAACTGCACTGTTCGACTCTCGAACATTGATTTCTTTCAATGTAAATTTACACACCAAAGCGAAATATTATATGCTAAAGAATTTCCTACATATCAATTTTAATTATTGATATTTTTTTTATAAAATTTGAAATTGTTCATAGAACGCAATAAGTTATTATCTGTTTGACGTCACTTCAGATATTAAGTTTCGAATCTAATTGAGTCATTTCCTTTAAGTTTGCAAATCGGAAATTAAATAAATAAATAAATAAATGCAAAAACATTAAACTCTTTCAGAGTAATGAGTCCTTGAATTCTAACCTGGCATTATCGAAAAATCTAAAGTTGATAGAATTATACAGGATGTAGACACAAACATTGCACCAAAATGTATTTCGTCTCTTCTACGAAATAACTAAATGCGATTGCACTGGGGTATAGGTAATCAATAATGGGCTACCGTTGGTTTGGACGCCATCTCCAACTCCTTCCCATGGGCAAATCCTATCGTAGATCCTACGAAAGATAATGGCATAGTTTAAATTACAAATCCTAGAGCATGATCAATACGAAAAATTTCTGTTAAAATATTCAAAGGGGAAATGGTTGAACACAGTAAAAAAATGAGTTGCGAAAACGTGTGTGGCTTTTCTGAATGGTATCGAAATCAGAATAAGAATTTATTTTTTTTCCAGTAAAAAAGCTTTTAAATAATAGTCTAAAGTTCGTTACACATTAACTAGATAATGGTTCACAACTGGATATCGGTTGATAAATCGAATTAGAACATATCAGTACGGTTGCACCAAGTATTTTGGATTATATATTTCAATATTTTCTTTATGTAATTATAAATAATTTAATGTAATTAATTTATTAATTATTTATTCAAATTTTAATATGTTTTATTCAACAATATAAATACTAGTAAGGTTAAGTTAAGTGATAGAAAATGTTAAAATAGGCTAATAGTAAGAAGCTGCTGACGTGATTCACAAATCTCTGCCATTAATTAATATTATTTGGAGTATTTAAACCAAAAATGTTATTAAAAATTATAAAAATATCACCAAATACATTTAGAAAATGCCACTCTTTATGATATTGATATCGTTCTGTTCACTGATATTTACCAATCAGATGATAATATACAAAAAATATTTTTTAAACTAAACTGTTTCGGGTTTCAGAACATTTAAACATTTCACTTCTAAGAATATTTCGGTTTACTTTAATTTTTAATTCGTTTTTGACGACGGTTAAAAGAAGCGAATCTTATTTGGAAGCAATTCAATGAATTTTGGGAAAGGATGGAATCAAAAAATTTGCAAAGAATATTAATAGAATTAATGAAACTCAACCCAACTTTTACGAATAAAACTTATTGAAATTTAAAATAACATTTACAGGAAAATTAATTTTTAAACTTCAGTCGAATTATATTAATTAATAAACAAAAATTCCGTCATAAAGAAATTTAAACATTTACTTGGTACGAGTTTTTATAAAAGTTTTCTTTGTGGCTATGAATAAATGAATAATTTACAAGCGGGATTTTATATTTATACAATGAAAAAAGTCTTTAAAGAATGTTGGCAAATTTCCTTTATTTCGAATGACGGTCATTCATTGGAACATTTCCAACATTGCCGAGATGCGTGTCTGACTCCGCCCAATTATTTGAATGCTCGAATGGCAGATAAAGGCGTAGCGTAGCTCCACCTAATCCAGTCTTACCAGCCTTCCTAGTCTCTAATGAGATGAAGTAGAAATCCACACTTGGGATTCGGAAAGAACACCCATCGATCGAATCCCGACACACCTTCCAATCGCATCTATTTCATACCCAGAAACGAAAGACCCTTTTAAATATGATATTACAAATACATTAAAATTTTTTAATATATTTGTTCCATAACAAAATATAGTCTATAAAACAGTATTAATAGAAATTCTTTCTTTTTCCTATCGAAAAACCGTTAATTTCGTGTTGGAATTGTCGGAAAATTCAATATTAACGTTATATTTTATTATAATCTTTAAGAGAAAATATATTGAAATTATTTTATATTTAGTAATAGTTTTTAAAACTAATTTTAAAAAATAAAAATCAATAAATTTTAGGGATTTATTTATATGTAAATCCCTAAAGATTATCAATTTTACAAACATTGTGGGCTTTGAATAATAACATTAATTACATCCAGTTCAATTTTAATTAAATAATCCAATTAATTATTTAAATATAGACATAAATAGAATACCATTTTATTGGATAATTAAAAAATGCTTAATTCTAAAATATTTTCTACGTTTTACATTAATGAAGTAGCCTGAAATGTTGTTTAAAAAAGCAAGAATACATTCATTAAGTATCAATTGGATTCAAACTTTGGCTTAAAAAAGTGTATTCTACGTAGTTAATTAGATTAATCTAACTTTACAAAGACTTTAGTTATAAAGTGCATTTAAACTGAACTTACGATGTAATTAAATACATTAATTTCAGTAATTTAATTTTTACTATTTAATTTCTATTACCGGTATATTAATCCTAATTACGTTTCTTGATAACTTTGGAAACTAATTATCTGTTTAACGAGCTATTTCCTCTATCGTATTCATAAAAACTACTTGGAAAGCCATTTTACGGGCCCACGTCTTCCTATGTACGTTAGAGTGGTCCAACCCTTGCCTGAAGGCCAAGTAGAAAGAAGTTCCTCCACTTTACATGACTATAATTTGAATGTTCTATATCTTTGTGGATGAAATTTATTGTGACGTATTAATACGATCACACCGCCATTAAAAAAGAAATCAGATAAATAATTAACGCCTCATTTACTATTCCAAAGTGTGGAATAAAGGTTCGTTGTCCTCGCAAAATCGAGCTAACTAATAAAGAAACATTAGTTATGATTTCTTTAGCCATTTTCTTTTATTTTATTGGACTTGTCTACTGAATTATGTAATAAATTATAATACAATTCCACTCTTCTGACAGCCATACAGTATAGTAAAAATAATATATACTCATTGTTTTTAACTCCCATAGAAAGTTAAATCATTAGGAGATCACATTTTATGCTAAATGAAAGTTTTCATACAGCATAAGATGAATATTATATTAAACTAACTTAAAGTTGCGTTACAAAACGATTTTAAACAAAGTATAATTATATTCATTTGTAACAATTCAAAAGACAAATAGATCTAGTCCCAGCAGAGCCTACCAAACATAAATTAAAAATATATTTTAACATAATTAACAGTAAAAAGTAAGAATATATACAATACAATACTTAATAAATGGCTCTCCCATGGAGAAAATGCTTTGGATATCATGATAATATACAATAACGCTTCATCATACACGATCATAAATTATAATAGAGAACAATAAAATTTAGATATTTGTTATCTTGTAACAATCGTTGCGTGATTAGAAAGTACGGGAACAAATCTCGAATTTTAGTCATGCCAATTAATTATGCTGAAGATTTTATATTATTTTTTAAGTAGAGAAACTTTTTCTGCTAGTAAATAAATTATTTTCTTAATACAAAATATCTGATACAAATCTACTTATATTAATATAACTAAATTTTTAAAAAATATCTTATAACAAATACACAGCAATTTAACAATATCTGTTCATCAAACAGTAATGATAAATATAATTAATAAAAGCTTTATGGTTTATTTGCAGGTCTCGAAAAAAAATGCTTATTTGTATAAAATTTGCATTAGACGTTTGAACAATTCAAAGGTCTAAATGATAATTTGTAAAGGAAAAAAATTACTTAATTATAATTTGATTTTTATAATTTTTTCAATTTATGCTAAATACATTTTTAAATATAAAAAAATTAAATAATCCAAACACAAAATATTTATCGTATTTATACAGACACTTGGCAAATCACAGAATTAAATTTTATTCAGTTGAAGTGTCTGTATAAATACGATAGATATTTTGTGTTTGGATTAAAAATTACTGGCACGGTTTCAAAAATACCATAAAAAAAATTAAATAGTTACTTTTATATGTAGACAATTTCCACTATTAATCTGTTGTACGGTTTGTTGTATTTGATTGGTGTACGAATTGTATGATAGTTACATAATTACTAATTATATATTAATTATGTTTGAGAATGGCACGATTTTAAAATTGAAAAATTAAGAGCGTGTCATTTAACTATATCATTACGAGAGAATTTAATCATAGAAGGAATATTTTGGTAAAAATGAACAAAAAATAATTCAGATTTTATTTAGAATTTCAGTTGAAACATATTTCTAATCTTAATGAATAAGAAATAAAATCTGTAACGCCTGATGGACTGGCGAGAAGAAAAGAAGCGAATAACATGATAATTTTTTAAGAAATACCGTTTAATGATATACTGTTGATGTATTTTTCAGACGCAATTAAATAAAAATGATACTACGATAGAGATAAGAATGGAATATTGAAAACTTTCTATTTCCTTAATAAAAATTTTCATTTAGTCGAAAGTGTAGTGGACGTTCTCTAGAATAAACTTTTACGCGCGAGATATTTGATTATGCATAGTTCAGTCCAATGCCCTCCACACCTGTATTTCTCAGACGTCGGTAGGAGAAACCGCAGTTTTACGTCAAGGTGGATTATAAGGCCTACATTCAAGGTCATCCACTTTCCCGAGAGTAGTTTTTTGACCTTTTTTACACCATTGAACTTTCTCTACTAGAAGATGGAATGACCTTTTTTTATCCTTTCCCTGAATCAAAGTAAGCTCGATTTTTCAAAACCGTCTTATTAATTGATGTATGACATTTGCATTAGATAAGCTAAAAGGCGCTTAGAAGTTTGGCATTTAACGTGAATAATGTTCTTCAGTTTTTAATTCCCAAAACGATTATGCTAATATTAAAGTACTCGTTTTCAATAGCAATGCGTTTATTTTACGAATTTATTTCAATGGAATAAGGAGGAAATTATGTAAGAAGGCGTTGACCTCGGACGAAATACGTTAGAAAAAATTTTCCATTTCATCCACAAGGACAGCCATCGTGTGAACGACTGATCAAGGCCGTCCAGGTGGTGTCTGGACTTTCTTTGAACGCGAGATGGGCCCCCTTCGGATCAATGACCGCCTTTTCTTATAATTCTATTTTTATATGTAATGACCTTGGATTCTTCAAAAAATGTCGAAAATATTTTAAATGGTAACAAATTAAGGGAGATTTATTTACCAAGCTATCATTACTCAAATAATTAAAGACCGAAAAGAATGGGTTTCAATAAAACGCTATTCCGGAAGGACCTCGTTAAAGCTCTTTTATCAGATCTGAATGAAAATGATTAAAACTTACCCAAGTACATCTGTACTTTCCCATTTTTTTGCTTCTCAAAAATCAGAAGTTTAAAGCTAACGAATTTAACTAATAAAAGAGAACGGTACATCATTTATAAATAGTAATATTATATAAATTAAAGTATATCTTATAAACTATATTTGTAAAGTATATCTACGTATAAAAAATATTTAGATTTTTATTGAAAGATTGTGTTATGTGTCATCCTTAAGGCGTATCTGACTTACAGTAAGAACCTGAAGAAATCTCAATTCTAACTCCTTTTATGGCAAATATATAACTCCAAATATAACTTTTATGGCAAATATTCTAATTCCTTTTTTGGAAAGTATAGCTTATAGCTTCCAATACATAAAAGGTTGAATTATTTAAATAAAATGCTAAACACGTCTTTAGTATTTCAAAATTACTGAAAACTTTACGAAATAAATATATTTAAAGTTAGTTTTAAGAATCGTACGCATTTACAGTTCAATAATCGCAACGAAACGTCATTAAATAATACGAATTTGACTTGTATATACGAATAGTAAAAACGATACTAACATTATTCGACCTTAAAACGTTCATTAAAATGTTTCTACCTTTCTATTTAATCGAAGATGTTCATAATTAAGAAGAAAAAAGCAACTATAAAAAAAAGAAAACATAAAATAAATGATATAAACTTCATCGTGTAACTTCAAATAAAATTATAATTAAACTAAAATCGTTGTGCTGTTTGTATAGATGACAAATTTTGAATAACAAAGATTTTTTTCAAATTCTGATTTAGAAAATCTTTATCTTACATGAACATAACGAACGAAATGCAAATAAATGACAGGTCATTAATTTTTCGAATAAATTCCTCAGAGAAATATTCGTTGGAAAGGGTAGGTCTATTGCAAGAAGGTCATGGTCCTTATCTAAAGTTGACTGCACCCAATGTTCCTAGTTTGAGACTTCACCGCAATACCTTTCTCTAGTTAATTCCTTTTCTGGTTTAAATTCGAAATTTAGGATGAAGTTTGTTTTGTTAAATAATGCGTATAATAATAAATGTTTAGTGAAGTAACTTGAAAAAATAAATTATATATAAAATGTACTGTACAGTACATATATAGAATATAGCCTATATATAGAAATAAAAAGGTAAGATAAAACAGTATCGAAAGTATAATTGTTATTTCTAAAAAAAATGATTTATAAAATTATATTTATTAAAACAATTTTTAATACATTATTTTAAATATATTCCTGTTTTAGATAAATAAAATAGTTTTTTAAAATTATTTTTAATTATTTTGATTAATTATTCTTTAGTTAAAATGTTTAATATAATCAATTAAATATTGTTTAACTGCGATCATATCTTAAATAATACGGTCCATAAGGAATATCGATCAGATAAACTTACCAATATTTTATGTTAAAAAATTTAATAAAGGAAACGTCTAAAAATCTTTCCATAAAATAACTATATAAACGAAAATTAAGTATATGTTATTCAATTAAAAAAGTAGACATCAGACAAGTGAAACTTTTTCTTTCCTGAAATTTAAACATTAAAGCATGTTATATTTTACAACTAAAGTTATACTTACTGAAATTATACTTATTGTAATGTTAAAAAATAGTTTGAATATTAAGAAGAGAACTGTATACTAAAAATGAATAAATATAAACTAATCCAGAGGAAAGCAATAATCTAAAGATTATATTAACAATAAAAAATGAAAATAATCATAAATTATTTTGAAATAAATTTATTATTAGCCTAAAGTCATGACTTTCAAAGCTATAATAAGATAAGAAGTGTCTTACGATAGATTTATTGTATATTTTTATCTTCATATAACATTTTTATTTTTCTATAAAATATGATACATTATCATTGTAATTTTACAAGATTTTTAAAACCCGTATTGAGAATAAATACAAAGTTGGCAAAGGAAAAAAAAACAAATCTATTTAACTAACATCTCTTCCAGCTACTTTCAGGATAATAGACCTATTCAAATACACTTTCTCTGTCCTAATGGCATAGCTTCAATTTTTAGATTTAAATTGTTAAAATTTTTACATTTATTTAAAATAAAATTATATTTAAATCGATCGAAATAAGTTATATATTACGAAACATAATTAAAGATCAACGATAGAAGTTATCGTTGAGCTTTATGTCTACTGACTGCGATCATATTTTAAATAATAAGTTATGGTTCGTAAAGAATATAGGAATATTTTCTAGAATTATTACATTTAGATGTAAAAATTTACTTAACAAATTATTATTAAAATATACACTTTATGTTACATATAACATATATTTGAAGAGTTTCAAAATGTATTAAATTAACAAAATTACATTGTCTTAATATGTAGTTTTTCTTTTATATTTCACATATTTCAAATTTATATTAGATTGTAGACATGTTCAAAAATAAATTTATTCATAGGAATATTTATTTTTTTGGAAGCATTTTATGGAGTATTTATATTCTGTAGAAACTTTACCACACATAGTAAGGTTTAGCCCATTTACAAATGCCCCTTTAGTAGAGTAGAAAAGAGCCTAAAACCTTAAAAAAAAGCTCATTTACATACAAATCTTCCTGTAAAATTATAATATATTTTAAAATGTTTTTTGTATATTTAGAAGAATATTCAATCAATGTTATCATTCACTATAAAACACTATTCAAATTCGAAAATTGAATTTAGTAATTTAATGTATAAATCTTAAACATTTCTATTATCATTTCAGTAATATTTTCAATATTTATTACAGTACATAAATGAAGAGAAAAAGCATTTTCTTTTGAAAGAAACGAATGATTAAACACAGGATTACAGATCTAGCAACTTAATTAAATTGACTATAATTATAGAAACCATTTATTTTCTATAAATTAAAACTCTTAAAAATTTGTTTAGTATGTTTAGAACAAGCATTTTGTTCTAAACATACTAAAGAATTTTTTTCTTAATTAGAAATTATATACTTTTTAATTCATCTAATGATTTCGGATTACCATAGAATATTTATAATCGTAACTCAATGATTTATTATGTAAACTCACTTTAAATACCAAATTAATCATAAACTCAATTAAGCTTACCTTTATCGTCAAGTAACGCCAAGTAATTTTCAACATAAAAAATTATTTACAGCTTCAAAACACGAATCAATTATTATATAACACATCTCCATGGACGTTTCACTCCAATTTTTTCAAGTTTGAATGGCATTTTTGTTCAAAGATTTAAAATGGCGTTTCTATAATTCAAACACATAATTTTTGCAAAGGGATTTTCTGCACAACTGAGTATTTATGACGTCAGAAATCCACATTTGATAAGTAATAAAGATTTTGTTGCAAAGAGTAAAAGATCACCGATTGAGCAAGTATTATGCAACATGTTTTGATTCTAAGAAACAATTTTATATTAAAGATTATTTTGAATTCCAACCAATTAAAAGTCGCTTTACAATGGTGACATTTCAAAACTTTATCGTTTTATGAGCAAATATTATGAACAAATTTTATTAAAATATAATATAATTTTCTTTTCTGATGAAAATTACGTCAATATTTATTATAATTAATATTCTAAATATGCGTGACGTCGTCGTCAAAACAAATTGATCGATCGTTTAATTTTAATCTAAATTTAAATATATATATATATTTTATATTATATTATATTATATATATATATATTATATATATATTTCGTTTTATTTTAATTAATTTTGTTAGGCACGAATTTCATTACAGAAAAGTTGTTTGATTNATATAATATATTACCGTATTATATATATATATATATATAATACGGTATTATTATATTTTTAAGTTTTTTGTATTGAGAATAATTAATTTCAATACATAATAAGTTATTCTTAAATTTCATATTAATATTCTTTTCGTTAGTTTGATCAATAATGAAGGATTGGAGTATTGCTAATTCTTGTAATATATATAAATTGGTAGATAAACTCTCGTACTTCATCATCACTCATCTTCTGTTCCAACTTGGATCAGCAATTTCTTCATTCTTCATAATTCTTCCACCCTTTCTTCGAAATAATTGATTTTTAATTTCAAATTAAATAAAACATATAATTTCAATAATGCTTTGCCATTTTCACAATTCTTTGAAAATAATATTTCCTTTTTTATCCTTCAATCCCTACTCTTAGACTACTTATTGAAACATTGAATATGATACAGTATCTCACATTTATTTCTTTGAACCAAGTAAAGGAATATAGATCCTCGCCTTACTTTATAATAAGAAATTGAAACTATCTCATATTTAACAAATTACGAAGAATTTTACGATTTTATATTAATAATTAACATTCGATTATTCTAAAAAAATAAGAGAATTTGCAAAGAATAAAGAAACATTTTGTTGATCCCAATTGAAACAGAAGATAAATGGCGACGAATTGCAGTTTATATTTCTTGATTTAACAAGTCGCGAAAGCATTACATCAAAAGTTCTTCTTTGTTTCCTTCTTTCATGTGTCCTCAGTTCTGTAGCCATGAATAAATCATTGAGGGGAGATAGAGATAAGCTGAAAAAATTGTGACGCTCTTTACTAGCCAGCACTGAGCCCATTAGCTACAGTCCAAGTGTAAAAGTAACCAGTAATCTAAGTTTACGTGATGGGAGCGAAAACAAAGATTATATATATTGTATTTGACACTGCTATCTAAGCTAAGAGGCTTATCCACCCGGTGCGTCCTTTTGTACGGCAGAAATAGGAAAAGAATAGATAATTATTTTCTGGTTGTGTGGACATTAACAAGGCATTATTGAAACTATTACAAGTCTAGCAAATCACTGAAAAATTTTCTACAGAATGTTTAATTATGAAATTTAGAATTACAATAAATTATTATTTAATAAATTGGCATGCAATATTTTGATAATTAAAAATCTTTAAGTCAATTTATATATGTTTATATATAAACTGATTTAAATAAAGATTAAACATATTCAAAGATTTATTAAACATTATAAGCCTGTTTTATAAGTGCTCTATATCGAAAGATGTATTGGAATTCTATAATTTGAAATCTTAATTTATCATCTTTATAGTTTAACCAAATATACAATTACTTATATTACAAAATTAAACGAATTGACTTTCCAAAATTCGTCAATATTAATTTCTATAGGAGAGAGCGGGGTTAACTGACTCGTTGCTTTCCATGTTCTCATATTTAAATTTTCCTCACCTGTTCTGGGTCATTGATTCCCTCTAGAAGACAAGTCACACATGTAATATGGCCGCCTCAGACACGCTGAGTAGATATTGTTGGTGAATAATGGAAATCTGCAGATAATTGTAAAATTTTAGCTCATCTTGGCATGCTTTTTCGAACATTACCTCTCGAGAAAATATTGACGCTGTTAGTGTTAAATTTACTTTTGGTGTTTGTGTTTAAGCTCCGATAATTGAATGTGTGTTTAAACGCGCCAATGTTTTGAGGGACACGTTTCTTTGAGGAAAATTGTAGTGGGGTTAACTGGGCCAGTAATAGTTAAGTATAAATGGATAGGTTCAGTTAACCCCACCTTTGTTCCTCCTCCATAGCACAAACGGAAAGTCCTTCAACAAGAAATCGGTCTAGTACATCAGGAACCACAGTAAAACGTAAAGAAATTTGCCCGTTGCCAAAATAAAAAAAAAAAAGACCAAAGAAACAGAAAGAACGTTTGTGAATGTAGCATACTATAATATATAACATTTATTAACACAATAGGTCTTTCGCTAATCTGTAGGCACTATGCTTTTAAGTCCAGAGTTTTCATGGACACTCTGGTGAAGAGAAAACTCCAAGAAAAAGCTCAAGCTCGTTCCAAGAAGAAATCTAAATCAAGATGAAAGCTAAATGCAAGTGAAAACAAAGGAGAGGAACACTAGACATTAGGCTTGCTCTAAAATGAAAGTCAAATAGAGCCAATGAATGAAACATATCCCCTATAAAGATGAGTCTCTTTGAATCTCATCGATATGATAATCATAATTATGCTGAAGGTGCAGCAAGCCTCACGAGGGTTTTGATTCCTCTTCAATCATTTGACAATGATTGAAGAGGAATCAAACCCTCGTGAGGCTTGCTGCACCTTCAGCATGATTATGATTGATTATGAATTTACTCTATTGATTACTCTATCTGATTACTCTATTGATTATGAGGAACAAACTTCAATTTTCAGATGAAAAATAGAAAATGTAAAAAATCTTGACGTTTGTCCACTTTACCAAGGTGAACGTGATCGTTTTACTAAAAGTTATGCATTTACTTTTGATTTTTCCGCTTTGGAGTCACTTAACACAGCATTTCATATGTATCCAGTTAACTTCACCGGATGTTCCAGTTAACCCCCATCTTGGGATTAACTGGGTCATTTGACGTTAATATTTTTTTACACACTATGTATATGCAGACAAAACTGTTTTCCCCTCATTTACGACATATTTTCTTTGCGATATGTTATAGGCTTATAAGAGTTTCCATATCATGCAATTTATTAAAAAGCATTGAAAAAAATTGTACTTAGTGTACCCCTCTCTCGCCTATTAAATTATTTAAAACTTATCAAAATTCGCTTATTTACTCGGAGTACAAAACAGTTCGGCTCTTTATATTTCAATATTAACGCTCGAATAAATTAAAGTTGGTGAATTAGGTCAAAATTTCGAAAAACACTCATAACTGTTACCATGTAAATTTTCAAAACTAAGGAAATAGTCTTACGCAAAATAATTTATTTATTCTGAAATTCTAGTTAATCAGTAAGTCTTTTTGATTCTGAACATTTATGTGATATTCTAGAGTTTTTTCTTTAATCTAATTTCCCGCCAAAATCAACAAATATAAATGGAAAATATTTTCTGTAAAAATGAAGGAAGAAAATAAACTTGATTTTAAAAATTATATGTAGTTATTTTATAATAGTTTGCTAGAAATGAAAGATCATTTTTCCAATTATAATTCTAATGTAACTTCAGATGTGGCCATATTCTTCTCTACCAAAAATGACAATTATAACAGAGTGATAATTCTATCAATCTTTGACAAATAAGTTTAACTAATGGAAATCAGTAAATTGAATCAGTTTGCTTTTCAAAATAAAATTAAATCTTAATCTATTTCATTTTTTTGTGCCAAAGTGATATTGCTAATGGTTTCATGACAATACTAATACTGTTTATTAGAAATATTAGTTATTATTATTTGGATTCATTATATCAATAATCTCTATTGTAAATAATAAAAATAAATTGATAAATTCATACTTAGTTATAACTTCTTCCATTATAGAATATGTGAATTTGAAACCCATAATCTAATTACATACTTAATTTTTTATATTTTTCTGAATCATCGCTGCTGACCATCAATAGTGTTATGATTTAATCTAATTTCGTAAGAGCAATTAAGCATTCAAAAAAAAGAATGCTTATCTTTTTTTTATCTTTCTACTGTCAAACATCTTTTATATGTATATATATTTTAAGTAAAGGTTAAAATTTAAAAACCAAGTCTATTGTAATACCTTTGCAATTTTAGAATAAGTTTTAGATTTAGAATAATTTTAACATTAAATTTTTATTATTATATAAACAAGATAATTAAGAAGAACAGTTTCGTATGCTTCATTATATAAACTTTATTGTTCTATATGTAATTGATAAAGAACACTCTCTATAATATGGAAGAACTTTTTAATAAAATAACTGATCAAGAGGAAAACATCCTTTTCTTTAGAATTGGATAATATTTAATACAAATTTACATATTATAGTTTTTTCAAGACATTCTATAAAGTCTGAATAAAGAGCAAGGAATATTGGGGACTTTTTGATTTATGCAGTAAAAACATTTAATGATAAATTATTATAGTTTATTTGATGTTTATCTGATAAGTCATTGAGTAGTGAAATCTCTAAACAGTTATTTCAATCCAAATATTCAAATAATTTTGTTCTTTATAAAATATTAGCAAGCCACATCATGAATAAAATATAATGTAGCAAGAAACAAGTCTTGTCCTGTGTGCTTAGCATGAATTCTTTCTTTATTTATATATTAAATCATTTATTTATTTTTAAATAAATAACTCAAGTAATTCCATATGGTATTTATTCATATTGTAATGTCAGATTTTCAAATTGCTTAACATTTTAGCTTTCTTTTTATTTCATTTCTTGTTACTTTTCTGAAACATTAATATTTATTTCTAATTTATTATGAATGCAAATTGAACAAAGGGATGCTATCTGAAATTGTCTATACTAATATTATAAAGAGGTAATGTTTGTATGTAAGTTTGTATGTAGCAGGTAATCTCCGANCA